CCTTCCACCATCAACCCATCCACCCTCGCTTCCTCTCAGCCACTGATCAGCCAATCCCCCTTCCCTCTCTCTCCCCTCCCTCCATCCATCTCCCCATCTCCACCGCAGCAGCATCCACATCCAAATCCGCATCCAACGCCCGCCCCGACGATGAATGAGTCCAGCTCCGGCTCAAGCTCCAGCTCCGCCCCCGCCCCAGTCTCCGCCCCCGTCTCCGCCTCCTCGACTACCTGCCGATCAAACGCACTTGGCAATAGCAACGGATACGTACACGGATACGGATCCGGCGGCGGCGGCGGCGGCTCGATGGACGATGGTCCGGGCGCGGAGCTCAAAAACGCGTCATCGTCGCCATATTTGCTGTAGCGGTAGTAGTCGTGCGGCGAAAGTTGCATGGGCTGCATGATCTCGGCGCGGCCGGCGAGGTTGTCTTCGAGCTGGCCGGCGAGATCGTCGGGCAGGTCGGGAAAGGCGAGAGAGGGTGGCGGGTACGTGATGGCGCCGCGGGTCGTTCTGTGGGAGGAGGGCGAGGAGGATGAGGGGTGGGTCTGGTTGGCTCGGTTTTGCCGATGTTGCTGATGGTGGTGGTGCGGATGAGCCGGGGCGTAGAGTGGTGGTGGTGGTTGAGGGTATGCGCCCAAGTCCGACCGTGGGTAAGGGAGACGGTATTGCTGCGGGTTGGGGAAGTGCTGGTGGGAACTAGAAGCCATCTGCTCCTGTGGGGCCTGGGGCGGGAATGTGTCTGACACGTGATGATGATTCGCGGAGCGGAGCAGAAGCTGGGTGGATGAGCTTGACTGGTTGGGCTGTTGAGGAGGTGGCAAGGGTCCTGGAGCGATGATTGATGTGAATGAAGCTCCAGGGTATAGGTTCTGAGATTGCAAGTGACCAACTTGCGCGGGGTGAAAGCTCTGCTGAGGCGGCGAGACAGCGGGCTGCCGCTGTGTCCATTGTTGCGCCACCGGAGCGGGCTGGACTGAAGTGTGGTTTTGCAAATTAGCAGGGGAAGGCGCTCGCAGGGCCTGTGTCTGGGAGTCGGAGTGAGTTTGCCCGGAGAGATCATGTGGGCGAGGAGATTCGTTTTTCTGATGCTGCTCTTGTTGATGTTGTTGAAAGAGAGACATGATGTCGTTGGCCGGGTCGGGAACAGCATTGGGATCGGGGGTGGGAGGCCTCCAAATGGGCCCATCGCTAACCATTGAGGTCAAGGTAGAGCTAGCCACGGATGGAGATTTTGAGCTAACACTAGCAGAGCGGACCGACGAGCTCTCGGAGCCTCTGGAAGGGCTTTCCAGCGATTCGGCTCTTCCACTGTGGGGGATCATCTCAGGGCGGGCTTCGAAGTTGTCGAGCCACTCGCTGACCCGTTTGTAGCCTTTATGGGTACGTTCATCATAGGGCTGTACATGGGTCCGCAAAGGCGGTAAGGGAAAGACTTGATCAGAGGGCCTGGAATCTGTGAAGCTTCTAGCAAGAAGCTGCTCCAAGACGTCTTTGCGGACGGATGTGGTTTGGGCCAGATCATCAAGTTTGTTTTCTTGGTAGATGACACGGTTGCAGAGTTTTTTCAGAACCATGGTTTGGTCCCTTATTTTTGCGGCCTGGCTGACGACTCTGCTTTTCACGCCCTGTATGGGAGAGATTAATTTCGGAAATACTGATGATCAAGATAGTCACTCACCATGAACCGATTTCCCATTTTGATCTGCTGTGCTTTGAGAGACAATATGATGTCCGTTAAATCGCCTTTAATGCCAGGCAAAGCGGAGGCTACCGGAGCATGTTGGTTGGAGGCTTCCTTTTCGAGGATAGGCCCAACAAAATGACTGGCAGATGACTTGAGATTGCTTGCCAACTTGCTTTTCTTCTGCCTGGCGATGTGAGGCGGGAGCAACTCGTTGGGCCGGCTACGTCTTCTCTGTTCTGATTCAGTGGGAGCCTAAATGACGTGTCGGTAGATTCAGAGTGTTACCATGTATTGGGCACGCGCTTTGCCGATCCTGTATTTTGCGCGAGAGAACTTGACCTTCATGGTTGCACTTTGGATGGTTGGTGTTGGAACAGCATCGGGGTGCGCTAGCAATATAACAACCATGAAGATGAAGCCTGGTGATCTGGCAAATTTTCAGTGTGAGCTGGTGCTCAGGGTCCAACTCAGGGTCTCATCGTTTGACGGGACCGCAGCCGTGTTAGGCATCCACGTGCGCCATCCTCCCAGAGACGCTCCTTCCACTTTCCCACCAATCAAAGCGCCACCCACTTGCCGCAATCAGCGAGTGCAACAACCATGGCACGCGCCGTGGACCTTTGCCAACAGTCCTTTATATAAGCCCCCACTGCCCCATATCTTCCGTTCCTTCTTCTTCAACCTCCACAGCTCGGAGCATCGCAAGGAATACCATCAAGCACAAACGCTGAAGTTCTTCAAACCCTTCTTGAGCTCTCAACACCCTCGACTTGCAAACATGCCCGCTCCTATCGACGCCGCTTCTGCTCCTCCTTCGGTAAGGAGCCCGCCTTCACATACGTTCCAGTCCTGATTTCACTTCTTGATCTCTACTGCGTTTTCTCCCTCCCTCCCTCTTCTTGCTTCACTTCAGCGCAACCGCTTTCCCTCCCGCTAGTATATACACATCCATCCATCCATCCATCCAACTGATCCCATCCCTCTTTACCATAGCCTCCCCTCCCGACGCCTAGCCTCCCTCCCGACGCATCGGTCGAGGACTACGAGAAAGCCATCGAGATCGAGCGCCAGAAGTGCGACAAGATCATGGAAGCCAAGGCTCAGATGATGGCCAAGTACGACCGGGCGCAGGAAGCCTGCGACCAAGCTCAGCTGGCGCTCGAGCAGCACGCCGCCAGCAAGCAAGAGGAACAGAAGCAGGACCAACAGAGCCAGCAGGACCAGCAGGAACAGCAAGTAAGCAAGCAAGAGTAATTGATTCCTTGTGTTGAGAAACCAAAAAAAAAAACGAAAACAAGAAAAGGCAATAGCTGATATGCTCCCCTCTTTCTTTCTCTCACAGGCGCAGACCGACACCCCCGCCGACTCCAGCAACTCCTCCTCCACCACCACCACCCCTTCTAAGCCTACTGCTACTACTAGTACTACTGGTACTATCACCACCACTCACAAACGCTCTCGGTCCAATCTGAACCCCGAGGCGCCCGAGTTCACCCCTGGCTACTTCTGGTCGTCCCATTAGCGCCATGGCGACGTCGTGTTCCGGCGCGAATCTTCTTCCTCCGGCTGAGCGTTGGGTTGGGCACGCGCATGCGCTCGTTAATCCACTCCGCGACATCGATCGACGTTGCTATGGCTGGTTGGCGGAGTTTTTGGCATGCTGTGGGAGATGGGGCCCGGGCGGCTCTCTGAGGTGACGTGGTCGTGATTCAAGATTTGGAGTTGCGGCATCCGAAGGGGGGAGAATTCTTTAAAGCTTGGAGTTTACTCGTTTTGGTGGACAATGAAAAATCTATACGATCCGCTACCATGTTTCGACCACTTACTGCCAAAATACAATCGAGGATTTCCCCACAAGGCATGGTAATGCGGAAAAGAAGAAAGAAAAAAAAACTCGAGCATGATCACAGAATCGCATCGCTTCAATCTAAGTGGTCGACAGGAAGATCTGTTGATGATATAATAATACACATTTCCATTATCATTACAGGGCATATCAAACACTAGGCTACACTACTCTTACTCACACCACTCCCACCACCACCAGTCGCTTGCCACCACACCCATCTCAACTCCCCATCATTACCATCACCACCACCACCCTCTCTCACTCAAACCGTAAAGCTCCCCCTCAGCACCAAATCCCGACTGCTAAACCCAACCACGACCCCAAACTCGCCCTCGGGCACGCTCCACTCCTGCAACACGACGTCCCAAACCGACACGTCGCGGCGCATCAGCGCGAACGACACCTCTTTGCTCTCCCCCGCCGCGAGCTCGACCTTGTCGAAGCCGCGCAGCTGCTTGACGGGGGTGCCCTCGCCGGCGGTGGCGGCGGGCAGCTCGACGTACAGCTGGGGGACGGCGGCGCCGGCGAGGGCGCCCGTGTTGGCGACGGTGGCGGTGACGGTGTAGAGGGTGTCCCAGAGGGCGGGGTTGCCGCCGGGGGTGGCGGCGGCGGTGGTGGCGGGGGCGCCGGCGACGGAAGCGTTGTCAGAGGCGGGGGTGATGGAGAGGGAGGAGAGGTTGAAGGTGGTGTAGGAGAGGCCGAAGCCGAATTCGTACTGGACGCTGATGTTGTAGTAGTCGAAGTGGCGGTAGTCGATGAGGAGGCGCTCGGTGAAGTCGGACTGCCAGGCGTTGGTGTCGACGGCGTCGGCGACCGAGGTGGTGATGTTGGCGAAGTCGTAGTCGGACTCCTCGAACGCGATGGTGTAGGGCAGCTTGCCCGAGGGGTTGACGTCGCCGTAGAGCACGTCGACGATGCTGTTGCCGATCTGGTCGCCGGGGAAGTGGGCGGCGATGATGGCGGTGACGTTCTCGTTGTCGGCCCACGGCATCAGCGTGAGGCCGCCCGAGGTGGTGATGACGACGGTGTTGCTGCAGTTGGCCGCGACCTGGGTGACGACCTCGTCGCCGTCCCAGTTGACGTGCAGGTCGGTGCGGTCTTCGCCCTCGGAGGCCCAGGTCTTGAGGAAGACGAGGCAGACGTCCGGAGCGGGGTAGAGGTTGGAGGGCAAGGTGCCGGGGGTGATGAGGGCCGTGTTGTTCAGGACGTACTGGACGATGCCGTCCTCGGACTCGACGCGGGCCTTGATGGCCTCGAGAGGGCTGACGACGGAAGTGAAGCGGGCGGTGCCGGAGCCGCCACCGACGGGCAGGCAGCCGTACTCGTAGTCGTTGGCGTGGGGGTACAAGCTGTTGGTGAGGTCGGCGGCAGCATTGCCGAGGACGGCGACGTTCTTGGGGCTCTTGAGGGGAAGGGAGCCGGTGTTCTTCAACAAGACGGAGCCGGCAGCACCGAGCTTGCGAATGTGCACGCTGTGGTTGCCGCGGACATCGACCGAGGTCTCGTTGTTGAGAGCACCTGCGGCGCTCCAGTCATCGTACCAGTTGCTTTCGGGCTGCCAGTCGTTGACGGCGGGGTAGGCGCCGCTGGAAGGGTCAACACCGGGGAAGCCCTCGTCCTGACCGAGGAGGTAGTAGGGAGTGAGGACACGCTTGACCATGTCGTCCACGCGGGTCTCGGGAATGCTGCCGTTCTGGACAGCCTTGGTGAGGTTGCCGCCGAACCAAGACGGAACGCCCTCGAGGAGAGGCTGCCAGTTCCAGGCACCGGGCATGGTCATATCAAGACCCGACTCGACGGAGGCGACACCGCTGTGGGTGCCCATCCAGTCAGACATGACGTAGCCCTGGAAGCCGAGCTCGGTCTTCAAGATGCCGTTCAGCGTCTTGGAGTTCTGGCAAGCGTAGGAGCCGTTGATGCGCTGGTAGCTGCACATGATACTGGCGACACCAGCGCGGACGGCGTTGGCGAAGGGCCAGACATAGAGCTCGTGGATGGTGCGGTCGTCGACGTTGGACGAGACGGACATCTGCTCCTGCTCGTTGGGGACGTGCTCGGGATCGAACTCGTCGACAGGGTTGCGCTGCGTCTCCTGCTCGTTCACGATCCAGTGCTTGGCGGTAGCCTGGACACCAGTGCTCTGCACGCCGAGAATGGTCTCCTCCATGGCAACGCCGGTGAGGTAGGGGTCAGGCGAGAAGCCCTCCCAGTTGCGGCCGGCCATGGCGCTGCGGCCAAGAGGACCGGCGACGGGGCCAAGGAAGATCTGGGAGCCCTTGCCACGGAACTCTTCACCAAGGAGCCTGCCGCGCTCGTTGATGAGGGTCCTGTCCCAAGAGGCGGCAGCACTCAGGCCGGCGGGGAAGGCGCTGGCGTAGGTGGCCTGGCGGATGGCGAGAGGACCATCCTGCAGACAGAGGCCCTTGAAGCCGACGCGAGGAATGGGTGCGATGTTTCTGTGCAGGTGTCAGCTGGCAGTTCAGCGGACGAGAGAAGAGAAAGACATACCCAACGCAGGGACCGGGAGCACCAGTGAGCAGAACGACCTTCTCCTCGAGGGTCAGGTTGCCGAGAAAGGCCTCGGCCTTCTCCAGGGCGCCGGCCCAGCCGGTCAGCTGGGCAGAGTCGATGCCGGTCATGTTGGGCGAGGGGTAGACGGGAGGGCTCGTGGTGAACAGCGAGGAGTCCCAGTCCTGGGCAGCCTCGGCGCCGGCTACGGCGCCGAGGAGGAGAGCGGCCAAGTTTGTGAGAGGCGCCATTGTTGCTTGATGCGGGTTGTCGTGGAGGCGTGCCTTGGAGCTTCATCTGGAGGGCGGCGTGCGGGCTCTTTAAAGGCGATGGAGCGGACGACGCGGACGAGGCGGGCACGGAGCTGGTGCCATGACACGCGGTTGTTGCGATGCACTGTGATTGTCGTCATGCTGGTTCTGGAGAGGACTCAACCCGGGGATGCCTGGCTGCGGACCGTGCGGATGGCGGAGGAGCTTGTTCGGGCAAGGCTGCGGAGAGCAAGGCTTGGTGTGGAGCCCCGTGTGCCGCAGATCTACCGCCAAACCGGCATACATTGGCGCCTGGTGGTGAGCTGCTCGAGTGATGCTGCCATGCCATGTCGCGCGCGCCACACGAAGCCGTACGCTGCGCTCCAGACACGATCCTGCGCCTGCGAGGTGTTGTTTCGCTAAGGCGCGCGCCAGAGCGTCAGCGCGGATAGGTAAGCGCGCGACATGGCATGGCAGCATCACTCGAGCAGCGTGCAGCGTGGAGAACCGGCCGGAGATGGTGCGAAGTCGGGCCGAGCTCTCTCTCCGCTGGAGGCCCGGAGCCTCTCACCCTCTCCCCAGTCTTTCTCCACTTTCATCACGGCACTTTTCGATGCTGCACCCCGCTATCCCACACCCCGAGCTCCGATGTTTTCCCAGAGTGCCAGACCGAGCGCGCCCCACCCGCGCCAGGTGCGCCACCGCCGTGGTCGCGTGCAGCCCCAAATCTGCCGGTGCTGATGACATGCCATGAGGCTGCCCTGCCCGCTGGCGGCTCTGGGGTTGCTTCTCCCGGCCTGCATCTCTCGCCCACTTCCCGCACGACTGAATTCGAACCGATCGCGGCAGCCGTGGCAGGGGGCTGGCAGGCACAAGACATCAGCGGCGGAGGCCGTCGGGTCAAGATGGCGCGAGCGAGGACCACCAGGAGCCCTGCCGCAGACGAAGAGTCGCTGGTGCCGCTGGTGCCCAGCGCCTGACGTCGCGTGGCTTGCTGAAGTCCCGGCCATCTGCCGGCACGGTTCCGTGAGGTGATGGTCAAAGGATGATGCCGCCCTCCGCTCTCCACGTGCCCGCTCCCCGCCTGAAAACTTGGCAGCCACCACGCCCTTTTCCCTCCCCCTTCCTTGGAAAGAGCCGACGGCAGAGCGGCAACGGCGGTGCGGCTGGCGCCACCACCAGGGGGAAAAGGGAGGCAAGACCACCCACGTGGTCGGGAATATCGCGGGCTCGGGCGCTGGGCTCTCAGTCAGGTCCCCAGCTCGCTGCCCGGTCAGGCAACGGAGCCGCCGGGACCTCCCCCACGATCCGCAAAACCATTCTTCTCGCCAGTTCTCCTCGGCAACTGCCTTTGCGGTGCCAGAGCCGGTGATGAGATCGCCGCGTGATGGTCACCGACCAAGTTACCCCAACGGCGGGTCCCGGCCATATTTCCTCGCGAAACCCTTGCTCTTTTTTGTTTCCCACTTCTCGCCAAGTCCCGCCTGATGATCTTTTATGTCATGCTTCGCTTGGCTAGCGCGCTTTTTTTCTTTTCGCATCGTGAGGTTGCATCGTGGTGGTGTCGTCGGTGGCCAGCATGTAACATGCCCATCGTCCGTCCTGTGTTGCAAAGACGTCGGGGGGAAAACGTTCGGGCGAGACCTGGACAAACCATTGCGATCCTGGCTGTCCCTCTCCCTCCGTTCGGAAGTATAGGAGAGATGGCCTGACCGAACCTATTGAGGGAAGTGCGGGACTCATCTTCCGGGGACGGTGAAGGAAATGTGGGGAGAGCGAACAGCCATAGGGAGCGCGAGAATCGGAGCCCGCTCACCGACGAGATTCTTTGAGGCCATACACCAGTGGAAGAAGGAAATATGATTTTGAAAGCAAGAAAGTGCTGCGGCCCCCCTCGGCCGAGGGAAATATTCGGAACTGATGAGAGTCGAGTGAAGACAACATTGCTAGCATTGCTAGCAATGACAAGTTGGATGACTGAATAGAAGGTAAGTATTCATGATCCGTATAGACTCACGTGAAAGGCCGAGTAGGGGAAGTGAAAGGTCTCCATCTGGGCACAGAATGGAAACCATCACTTCCACGTCGCACGCGATGACAGTCCAGGGCAAGAACAGCAAGACCACGGTCAGAGTGAGCGCTGTACCTGTTATCTTATACCCGCCGCACCGCTGGATAAAGATGACTTACCAACCTCCTCCGCGACGATTGCCCCATCCCGAATCCTTCCACAATCTGGGGTGCGTCTCCGCCAAGAGCAACTCCAGGCTAAATTCAATCCAGCAAGTGACAACCAACATCACGAGAGACGTTGGTAGGCGCCAAGGACGCCGTCATTCCTTCCGCCACGTGGTTGAACGTTGGATCGAGCTAGCATGGGTTCCAAGCGGAAAGCCCGCTCCAGAGAACCAATCGCCAGCGAGAAAGCACAAAAGATCAACAACCGATTTTAAGCATCATCCGTCAGGATCCTCGATCCCGAAATGCAAGTGGCAGCCTTTTGCATCAAATTGCGTGCAGGATCCCTTGCAACGGTGGTACGCCCGCCGATCATCAGCGAAGGCGCTGTCGATCACACCGCGAGTCCGCCCGCACCTGCGACGCCCCGTGACAATGGTGAGGCTGGGGAGGGGGTGAGGTCTGCACGGCCAAGGGGGAAAACCCGCAGTCAAAGATTAGTAAAAGGTGAGGAGACTCCATATTCAACACGGAAAAGCATGTAAGCAAAGCACCCGACCCGATTCGGTCACATTCCTAAAGGGCCTCGGAACTGCGGCACAGAAACCAACATTGCGGTGATGCGAGTGCCTCTTCTCGAAATCGTGGTGGGGCTGTGAGCCATCTTTTTGGTCAAATGAAAGACATGCTGGAAACGGCAACACCCCATTGATTCATGGAAGGTCAAGGGTATTGTGTAGACGGTGTTGTATACGCCTGGGTAGTTCAACCACACTAAGTGACCCAACCTCGTAGACTCAAATCAAGGTTCTCCTCGATACTTTGCCAACACATTCATTCGTTATGCGGAAGGTAGCCCTGGATCTACACGCCGCACCCTCCAGCAAAAAACAAAACAAAACCGAATAGCCTATCACAAAAAGCAAGATGCCCCAAAGACCACCAACCAACAAGCACATGAACAGAAACCACACGAAAGGCCAAGAACCAGGAAGGAGCGAAAAAAAAATGGAGCACAAATCACAACTCACGGCGCACGACCTCAAGCCAGGAAGGAGAACAAAGAAGATTTTCACAACGGCTACATGCTCATACTAACTCATACTTCACAACATGCACACATCTCGTCATCATCAGGACATGACCTACTAACCGAGCCCTCTCTTCCCTTCCCACACTCTCTGAATCGCGTGTATTACTGATGGATGGATGGATGGCTGGGTGGCTGGATGGTTGGACGCATAAATCCCTTCGATCAAAGAAAAAAAGAAGGAAAAAAACATCGACACTCTTTACTCATCATCCATCATCACCTTTTTCCCCAGCGCAAAGAAAAGAACAAACATCTACCAATTACCCGCCAATCCACTTGCATCATCATCGCGCGAGAACAAAGACAAAAAAAGAAGACTAAAACTAAAACTAAAAACTACACCACCAGCGCAGCAGCAGCAGCAGCCGCCGCCGCCGCATCCCTCTCCTCGCGGCACAGCGGACACCTAAACTCTCTCGCACCCTCACCTTCCTCATCCACCTCGTCGTCCACCACCTCGCCAGACGCAGACCCAGCGGCGCGCTTAGCAGCCGCAGCCGCAGCCGCAGCAGCGGCGGCGGCGGCGGCGTTCCTCTTCTGCTTCTGTCTCTTCTTCTTGTCCTTCAACAAGCAGGACCGATGCCACAGATGCCTGCAAGCAAACACGACCAACGGCCCCACCGTACCACCGCCACCGTTCCCATTCTTCCCATCACCAGCAGCACCCTCACCCCCACCTCCCTCCCCCTCATCATCCTCATCATCATCACTCCCCTCACCCCCCAGATCACCACCATCCTCCTCCTCCCCCCCCTCCACCTCCGCCTTCCCCTTCCCCCTCCTCGCCCTCCCCGCCTCCACACTATCCCCCCTAACCGCCCACCGTCCCCTCCTCTCCCTCTCCGCCCGCACCCTCCCCCTCTCCCACGCGTCCCAAACCGCGCTCCCCGCGCCGGGGCCCCAAACCCTGCGCTTGCACCCCTCGCACGCGTTGCCCCTGGGCCGCCAGCCGCGCGTGCGGCGCGCGTGCGCCCGCTCGAGCGCGGAGAAGACGTCGCGCTCGAGGAAGCGGTTGGCGAGCTGGGTGAGGGCCTCTTCGAACGTGTAGGCGGCGAAGACGGAGGCGAGGACGGCGCGGAGGTCGGAGAGGGAGGGGGAGGAGAGGGCGGCGCGGGTGAGGAAGGCGCGGAGGATGCGGAGGAAGGAGGGGGAGGGTTGGCCGGCGGCGGTGGCGGTGGCGGGTGCGGTGGCCGGCGTGGTTGGTTTTGTTGATTTGGTGGTCGTGAGTTGGCGTTTTTGCTGAGCGGCGGCGGCGGCGGTGGTGAGCGCTTGGTTGGTGCTGATGCTGGGTTTGGCGGTGTCTCTGGCGGCCATGCAGGTGAGGAGGGCGCTGAATGTATGTTGGACGTTGGTGCGGAGGCTGTCGGTGATCTTCTCCGTGTCGATGGCCGCAGCACCTGATTGGCTTTTGGCGTTGAGTTGCGCGATGGATGTCGAGGCTTGCTTGGTCATCGCCACGGTGATGTCGATCAAGTCGAGCCAGAGGAGTTCGTCCGGGTCCAGGTCCTTCTCAGTGCCCACGTCCCCGTTTACAGCCCTCTTCCTTGGGTCCGCTGGTCTCCTCTTGTTGCGTGTTTGGCCTTGGCATAGCCACGTGCCAATCTTGGTGTATTTGTGCACTGCCTCCAGAAGATCTGCAGCAGCTTCTTCCGTGTTCGACTCGTCGGGACTTTCGCTGGCGGCATCGAGCAGGCCGACCAGGGCAGTCTCCAGTGTGCCAAGATGTTTCACCAGTCTGTCCATGGCTTCCCGGATCAATCCATCCTGGGCCATGAGCACGACAGCCGCATCGACCACGCCGCTGCTCTCCATGGCTGGGAGAACTTTTTCGAGCCGCAAATCCCCCGAGTTGAGAAGACCAACATAGTCGGCAACGTGCGTGGGATCATACCTACACATAAGCTGCACATATTGCTCGATGAAACGAGCTGCTGAAATTTCTGCCGGAAGAGGCTGCTTGGCATTCGTGACCTGGCCTTCTGGCTCCAAAAGCGCTCTGAGGAACAGGAACTGGACGTAATGGTCTGCTTCCAGGGTATCGAGAGCAGGCTCCAGGAGCACGGGTGCTGAGTTTTTCAACGTCCGCGCTGTCAGAGCGGCATCGATGTCTGCAAGGACCGTTGCATGAGCGAGGATGACGGCATGAACCTCGCCGACTTGTCGTTTGTTGAGCCCCTTGCTTGGTCTCAAGCAGTCCCTGATGCACTCGAACACCGCCGCACGATCGTCGGCGTCGTTGAGATATGTCTGGACAAGACGCGCGTATTCTTTCGCACCGCTGTAAACCGATTTGAGTACCCGATAGAACCCGGCCTTCTCGAAAAGTGGAACAAGCGACTGGATGTCTGTTGGGTGGTAGACGGAAAGCAAGTACTCGACACTAAGCTGGCAGTCGTCCGCTACAGCATCGGACGGGTAATCGCAGAGACCCTCAAGCAACTTGTGAAGCGCGCTTCCAGGGAGAATGATGTACTGTGGGAACTTCGGGAGATTGCGAGCCACAAATATGTATAGATAGGTAGTATCCTCGGACTCGAACTGGCCCTCCGACATGACTCCAAGTAGGATGTTCAAGATGTATTGGCGCGTTGGTCTTCTCCCGGAAGATCGATCGGAGGCCGACACGCCATTTACCGTTCCATTTGGTGACTGCCCTCCGTTCAAGTAGGAGTCCTCGAATGCCTCATTGAGCATGCTCATGAAGCTTGGTGTGTCGAATTTGAGAATTGCTCTCAAATAAGGAAATGATTCGGCCGATTCCTTATCTTCAAATGGTTGGAAGACGTCGCCGCTGCCTTTGGGCCACTCCATGGGTTTTCCAGAGAAAATGTAGGAATATATCGCATCTTTGGCGCTATCGGCATCCTCGTCCGGCAAAACACTGCCACCGGGATAAATGCGCCCGGTGAGGGTATACGCAAGGTATGGAAAAATCTTCATTGCGGAGGCGAGGATTTGCTCTTCTGCCGGCCCGGAAGGCTCACCACCCGACAAAACAACTTTGACCAAGGTGAGCAGGTCGATGAGCGGGGTGATGTAATCACGTATGGATCGGGTCCACACATAGATCAGTGCATCATACAGACTGTACTGCCTGCAGAGGATCGTGACCTGGTTGATGTCTACTGTGGCTGTGTCCAAATGGCAGATCATTTCCTCAAGCCTGTCGGTACGGGTCTGTGACGCGTATTGTGTTATCATGTCCTTCAGAACGTCCGGTGGCACGGACGTAATCTCGTCCTCGACGATGTATGGCTCCAGAACCTCGAAAAACACGTTCTCTGACGATGCGTTCTGGAATGCCTCGTACACGTCCTCGAATAGGAAGTCCATCTCCTTCATGCTCAGGCATGCCGAAAAGCTTGCTGACGCTAACTCGAATAGCTGAGAACGGGATGTTTCATCACCCGAGGATTCTTTCCTGGAGAAGGTATACTTCAGGGAGGCGGAGATCATTTCCAGTAGTTTCTCCTGGACTAAACCGTGTCTAGTAGCATCATCACTGGGCAACCCTACGGTAAGTTTGTCAGCATCTCCGTTGTAGTAGGAGGTTGCCAGCTCGATGGCAGCTATGTAGTCTCCTTCTTCCACGAGTGCAACAAGTCGATCTGCCCAGTTCGAGAGAGTTCCAATCGAGACGTCATTGAAACCCAGAAGGAACAATCTGCCTTTGTAGGCCCGAAAGCTCATGTAGAAAGCATCTGCGACAACACCGTGCATGGAGTCGTCCTGCTCGTCCAACTGCTCCACTACAGAATGGAGCTGGCGCGAGAACAGATCCTGATGGAAGATGTGCTTCTGGATCAGGTCAAATGAGTCCGTCATCCTAAGAGAGCTATCTTCCAGGATTATGAGACGTTGGCTGATTGTGAGCACGCCGAGGACGGATCGGCTGATCCACTGTACGGCAACGATTGCTTCCTCAGCCCTCCATCTGCTACGAGGTCTGAAGCGAAGAGAAGGTCGTTGTTCTTTCTCCCGCCGGTCTGCAACTTCCACGTCCAGGACTGTGAGCACATTTGACCAGCAGTACACGAGTTTCGTCTTTGAGACAGCTTGCGGGCCGTCCTCCCCGGAACTCTTGAGTTTTACAGCGGGAAACCACGCCAAGCAACCACTCAAAGTGCTGTGGGGAACTATCTCCTTTGGTCGTGACATTTTGTGTTGCGTCTCGGCAATAGGTGTGGTGGAAACGATTACAAGTAAGTAGGGTGTCAGTAGCGCGGTGAGGCCGAGTGGGTCGGTCGGTTGCTCCACGTTCCCCAAAGGCAACGGCGAAAATGCAAGAACAGAACTGGACTTCCGCGGCTGGTCTATAGCGCCCGCAGAAGGTGGGTATCTTCCTAGAATTCGGGTGGTCTTCACTGTCCGACCGACAGCCCCCAAGCCTCGTGTTGCGAGATGAGAGAATGCCATGCCACCTTCATCTGCCGACACAAGCGCAGTATGGCGAGTTCCCAGAAAGCCTAGATGAAGGACAGACACATCGGTGAGATGGCCATCCGATGACCGGTTTTCAGCTTGCCGTTTGTCGATGGGTGGAATGTGGAGGAATGGCTTCGCAGATCTGGCGATTTCCCATGTGAAAATGTTTCCAGACGAATGACCACCGGCAACTGTCGTGTGATCGGCCGATATCGCAAGAGCAGTGACCGCGCCAGATTCGATTGCTATAGTCTGTCAATATCCTTGGCATTCCGCATGTGATTGGAGATGCCCTACCTTTTGTACCTGGACCAATTATGGACTTCAGCGTCTGGTGGTAGTCGAAAACTAAGATCAGCCCTTTTGAAGTCCCAATGATGATAGAAGCGGCAACGGCCAGACATGTTGGTCGGCCAAAATTCCGTTTGCCAAGCTCTGAGAAAGCCTGACCGGATATCCTTTTCAGTCTTGTCCACCGCACAACTTCCCATGGCGGTTGTGGTGTGTCTGCTCCATCCTGATTCTGAAAGAGCTGGCTCGAGAGCGACGACTGCCTCGAGTTAGACCCAAGGAAGGCGGGCGAAAGTGCTCTCGGCGAATCGCGCGGTGAGACTGGTGTCCTAGCAGAGAATCGACGTTCGAAAGGCTGCAGCGATGGCGGCCGCTGACCTCTACCGAATGACGCGAACGATTGAGGAACACTACTTCCGGGCGAAGAAAGTGCGGAGCCCTAATGATGTCAGCAGAGGAGCTTAAGAGATAATAAGGAGCAGCGCACCTGGACGGAGGGGGTATCATCAGGTGCTGAGATGGAACCCTCTGGGCTCATTGCGCTGAAAGAAGCGTTCCGGTTGGGTAACGATGGCGAAGGGCTCGCGGGATCCAAGTCCTCCTGCGTGTGCTGTTCCTTGACCTTTCCATAGCCATGGAAATTTGTTCCGTTGGTCCCGTTGGTGGCAGCCCCAGAATCTGCGCGCAGATCTCTCTGCTCTTCCTCGATAATATGTCTGAGCTCCGAATCGGCACGCGCCAGATCAGGCGCAGGATCATTGCGCAGGCTGGCCGCGGCTCCGTCAGCGGTATTGACATCCTGGCTGCCACCGCTGACATCGCTGTCTCCGTCTGCGGAGCTCATCTGGGTCGCCTTTCGCTGCTCATAGCTCCGCCAACGGCTGTGTGTGGTGGGCAGTATCCAATGGCTGTGGAGGCGCGGTGGGAAGCAGCAGTCGGCGGTAATGCGGGCAGTCGGAGAGCGCGCAACCGATGCTGGTGCCTATCGTGGAGTGGGCGCGTTGGTTGCGGCGTGGGGAGAGACGCACGGCGGGAGCGCGGAGGCGGGGACAGGGCTGCAAGCCTGGTGCGAGGGTGAGCTTTGCGACTCTGGGGCAGACGGCGGTGACGATAGGTACGGTGGGCTGGTCAGCTTGCCGGAGCTATGAGACTATCGCAGGCATCGATTCGACAACCGGCAGGCGCACGGGCGGGCACGTGCAACGCGCCCCAGTCGTGCGCGCCTTCCCTGCATCTTGCTCAGCCACACAGCCACAGGCGAATCAGTCCCGCCCAGCCGCCGGCCGCCAGCCGCCAGCCGCCAGCCTGTCGCAACCTGCCTCGCCCTTGGCTCCCGCCCCTCAATAGATTATCCTCATTTCCTATGCCAGTCTCTCGCTTCTGCCTCTCTTTCCTCTTGTCTACTCGCTACTCACTCGCTGTCCATCGGTCTTGTCGCCTCTTTCGCGCGCGCCCGCCGCGCCACTGCCGGATCCCAAACGCCTTAACATCCGACACTTCCTCTCCCCGCCCCAGACAGTTACTGAAACTCCCTGCGTTCCACGCCCAACTTCAAGCTGCTTCGTAGCCACATTGCGTGTACAACCACACCTTTGCACGCCCTCTTCAATCCCTTGTCCTTCTTTTCTTGCTCTTTCCTCACTACACCAAAATACCAAAATACCAAAATACTCAAGCCGCCATCACCGAACGCACGCCTCCCACGCCTCAACAATGCTCCTGCCCCGCCAAGAACCGGCCGGCGACCCGGCTTTCACGAGCGATGACGATGATTACGTTTACGACTCTTTCTGGTTCTCTCAGGTATGCTGCGTGGTTGGCAGTCGCATGGCCTGACTAATAAATTGGCCAATAGACTGGCATAATCATCAAGTATGTCCTCTTCGGGACCTCCCTGTTCATCTTCTTGGTGTGGTTCATTGGCGGCTACATCCACGCCCAGCGGCGGATGAAGAAGGGGCTCCCGCCCTTAGCCTACCACAAGGTATACAAACCCCGCTCGGAATCCTCGTGTTGTGAAGGCCACATCTGACATGGCGCAGTGGCTCGTCCCGAGATACCAGCGTGCTCGCTATGAACCGCAGCTGCAAGGCGTAGTCTACTACCAGTATCACGGCCAGCGCCCGCAATACTACGCCCCTGGCCAGAACGGCTTCCCAATGCAGGGTTACCCGGAGCCTCCACCGCTGTACAGCCAGGACATGCCGCCTACCTACCAGCCTCCCCCTGGAGCCACCAAGGCTGACCCGCAACAACACTACGGTCCTCCGTCGCCGCAGTATGCACCACCACCAGGACCGCCACCTTCTACCTCTCAGGTCCCGCAAGGCCCTCAGCAGACTGGTGTTCTCATCGACGAACCCACCGCTCCCGCGCAGGCGCACCACACGGGGAGCTCGAACCCTTTTCGCCTTTAGACATTCATGACCAAAGTAATAGTTTCCGTCAAGCTATAATGCACTGGATAATTTGATTCTGTGAGGGAAGTAGGGAGCTGCACCGCTCACTGGATGAGCGTATCAGCGGCGTTTGACACAATACACTGTACACGTGCTACAGTCATATCGATACCAAGCAAAGTTGCACGAAATGTTAGTTGATTTACTTTGGAATTGCATAAGCGTGTAGTTCTACGTATCATAGAGAAATTAATACGGGGATGCCCTTCATCTGCCTCATTCGATCTCCATCGGCTCGACTTCCATGTCGTCAACCGAGCCGTTTGCATCCGTGGACATGGCATCGGCGTCGGCGTCGGCGTCGGCATCGGCGTCCTCAGCTGCAGAGCCATGCCTGCCAGCATGCTGCAAGATATGCTTTGTATGATCGTTCGATGCACGCAGCGATGCGGATTTCTGCTCCACTCTGAGTCGCGCTTCAATGATGGCCTTCCTCACGCTGTCCTTGTCTTCAGGAACAGACAACGAGGCAGGGACGCTGTAGAGCACAAGCTGGTTTTCGGCGGTGCGCTCGAGCTCTCTACCATTGCTCACCAAGACGTGCTTGGGTATCTTGGTGAGATGCTTCTCAATGTCGGCGAGGAATATGGGGTTCTCCTCGTCGGATTCAAGCTCGGCCAACTCTTGGTCGAGATCGTAGATGTAGACCTTGTCCTTGGTGTCTTCGAGCTGCATCCAATCGTCATCCCGGGATCTGGTAGCGGTGGCGCGGGAGGCGCTTGGATCGAGAGGCGGTTCGGAGTCGGCGTGGGACGACGATGCGGAGACGGGGATGTAGAGCTTGCCGGAGCTGTCTGGAGCAGCGGGTCAGCGGGCGCCGGACGGCGCAAGGCGGGCGAAGGGGCGGCATACCGATGTTGAGAAGGTTGAAGCGCTTGGACAGGCGCTGCTCGGATTCCAGGGACTCGGCGGCTGCGCGCTTGAGGCCGCGGTGCGGCTCTGTGGCCGTGGACATTACCTCCGCGTGGGTGGCCATTCCATCACCTCGCACTCTCGCTCTCGAAGCTCAACGCACGTGCATTCAACAGATCGGTGTCCGTCAGCTTGCGCTCCTCGCTCATCGCAATTGTCGCGCAGAGCCGCTTTCGGGGAAGACAGGGCGAATGCTGCGACTCCGTGCGGGGTCCGTGTTTGGTAGAGATAGCGGCCTCGTGAGTCACGGCGGGCAAGGGCGATATTTGTCGCCGCTTGTGTCCCACGCGCAGAAGCTTCTACAAATCCCCAGCATCCACCACCGCACCGCTCGCAACCTCCACCCGGCCGCCAATCCGCCCCGAGGCCGAGTGCCCGCTCTCCGCTCCGCATCGATCGCTCGCGCCTCCGCGAGACCAAGCCCCTCCGTTCGATCACCGCCGTGCCCCGCAGCGCATCCCTCGCTTCAACCCCGCTGCACGATGGCTTCGATCGTCGACCAGCAGCCCGAGTGGTCTGCCCAGCGCGTGCGCGACACCTTCCTGGACTACTTCAAGAAGAATGGCCACACCTTCGTGCCCTCGTCCTCGGTCGTGCCGCTGTCCGACCCTACTCTGCTCTTCACCAATGCCGGCATGAACCAGTACAAGTCCATCTTCTTGGGTACCGTTGATCCCAACTCGGACTTTGCTACGCTGAAGCGTGCCGTCAACTCGCAGAAGTGCATTCGCGCTGGTGGCAAGCACAACGATCTGGACGATGTCGGCAAGGACAGCTATCACCACACCTTCTTCGAGATGTTGGGCAACTGGAGCTTCGGCGACTACTTCAAGAAGGAGGCAATCACATACTCCTGGGAGCTGCTGACCAAGGTCTACGGCCTGGACCCCGACCGTCTGTACGTCACCTACTTCGAAGGCGACAAGAGCCTGGGTCTCGAGGCCGACGAGGAGGCGCGGCAATACTGGAAGGACGTGGGCGTTGCCGATGACCACATCCTGAAGGGCAATGCCAAAGACAACTTCTGGGAGATGGGCGACCAAGGCCCTTGCGGCCCTTGCAGTGAGATCCACTACGACAGGATAGGCGGCGGCCGCAACGCCAGGGACCTCGTCAACATGGACGACCCCAATGTCCTTGAGATCTGGAACAACGTCTTCATCCAGTACAACCGCGAGCCTGACAGGTCGCTGAGGTCGCTGCCCAACAAGCACGTCGACACCGGTATGGGCTTTGAGCGTCTCGTTTCCATCCTGCAGGACAAGCCGTCCAATTACGACACCGACGTCTTCACCCCGCTGTTCAAGACCATCCAAGAGATCACCGGTGTGAGGGAGTACCGGGGCAAGTTCGGCGACGAGGACCCTGATGGGATCGACACTGCTTACCGCGTCGTTGCTGATCACGTTCGTCTGCTTACCTTCGCCATCTCTGACGGCGCCATTCCCGACGCCGTTGGCCGTGGCTACGTCGTTCGCCGTGTCCTGAGGCGAGGTGCCCGCTATGCCCGCAAGTACCTGCACACCGACATCGGCAACTTCTTCTCCAGGATCGTGCCGAAGCTCGTGGAGCAGGTCGGCGGCATGTTCCCCGAAATCAAGAAGAGGGAGCAGGATGTCAAGGAGATTCTGGACGAGGAGGAGCAGGCGTTTGCGAAGAGCTTGGACCGTGGCGAGGTCATGTTCGACAAATACGCCAAGCAGGTCGAGCAGAGTGGAAGCAAGAAAATCTCCGGAAAAGATGTGTGGAGGTTGTACGATACCTACGGTTTCCCTGAGGATCTGACTCTCATCATGGCTGAGGAGAGGGGTCTCACCATTGACGATGCTGAGGTCAGAGAGGCGCAGGCCATCGCAAAGGAGGCCAGCAAGGGTGCGAAGAAGGCTGGTGCCAACGTGGTCAAGCTGGATGTGCACGCTCTCGGCCATCTTCAGGAGTTGAAGATTGCTCCGACGGACGACTCGTTCAAATTCGCCAAGGACAACATTACCGCCAAGATCAAGGCCATCTTCCATCCGGAGAAGAAATTCATCAAGAGCACGAGCGAGGCTGGCGAGGGCGAGCAGATCGGTCTGGTCTTGGACAAGACAAACTTCTACGCCGAGCAAGGTGGTCAGGAGTATGACACTGGCAAGATACTGATTGAGGGTGCCAACGAGGCTGCCTTCGATGTGCAGAACGTCCAGGTCTCAAACGGCTACGTTCTCCACACCGGCTTTCTCAGCTATGGCGCTCTTTCGCTCGAAGACGAGGTCATCTGCGAGTATGATGAGCTGCGCCGCAACCCGATTCGCAACAACCACACCGGCACACACGTGCTGAACTACGCCCTCCGCGAGGTTCTTGGTTCGGACATTGATCAGAAGGGTTCTCTTGTCGCGCCCGAGAAGCTGCGTTTCGACTTTTCTTGGAAGAAGGGCGTCACCGATGCCGAGATCCAAAAGATCGAGACCATCTCCAACGGCTACATTCGCGACAACCGTACCGTGTACATCGAGCCTATCGCTGTTGCCGATGCGCACAAGATCCGCGGTGTCCGCGCCGTCTTCGGCGAGAAGTACCCCGACCCCGTCCGCGTCGTCTCGATTGGTGCCACACTCAAGGAGATCATGGCAGACCCCGAGAACGAGAAGTGGGAGAAGCTCAGCATCGAGTTCTGCGGCGGCACCCACGTGGCCAGCACGGGCGAGATCAAGGAGCTCGTCGTCATCGAGGAGAACGGCATCGCCAAGGGCATCCGTCGCATCATCGCCGTCACCGGCCAGGGCGCGTACGACGTCCAGCGCGTCGCGGCCGACTTCTCCAAGGAGCTGGAGCGCCTCGAGAAGATGCCGTTCGGGGCGGAGAAGGACGCGCTGCACAAGAAGACGCAGGTCGAGCTGAACGAGCTCTCGATCGCGCTGCTCGACAAGGCCAAGTTCCGCGAGCGCTTCGACAAGGTGACCAAGGCGATCGTGGCCGAGCAGAAGAAGCAGAGCAAGGCCGTCAGCAAGAAGGTCGTCGACGCCATCACCGACTACTTTGCGCAGAACAAGGACGCCAAGTTCCTGGTGCAGAGGCTCGAGTACGACGCGCAGTACACCAAGGGCGCCATCGGCGAGGCCATCAAGCACGTCAGCAGCAAGCAGAAGGATAAGACGGTCTACCTGATCGCGGGTGACGTTCAGGACGGCAAGGTCGCGCACGGTTGTTACCTGGGTGATGTAAGTTTTTTCTTTTGCTTCCTCCCTTTACCCCCCTGAGACTCTATACTTGAAATGTTTTGGTTGCTGACTGTCAATGCAGCACTTCGAGGCACAGGGCGCTTCTGCTGCCGAGTGGTCTACTTCCGTGTCGGGAGCCGTCGGTGGTAAGGCTGGCGGCAAGGGCAAGACCTCCATCGGTCAGGGCACCAGCCCCGAAAAGTTGGATGAGGGCGTCGAACTCGCGAGGAAGTATCTGGAGAAGTTCCAGATCTGAAAAGGACCGTTACGGAAAAGGAAATAATAAAAAAAGAAAAACGAAAGACAAGAAGATAGGACGAGTGAGATGAGTATTTGTATCTGAGTAGATATTGATTGTTGTGAGTCAATGTATCGTTGACTGTTTTTAATCCTGGCCCTTTTCTCTTTCCCCGCTCCTTGTGTTGCTGTAATGCATGTGCAAACGTGCCCGCTGGAAATCGGTGCCATGGAATCTGATCAATATCTCAAGTGGTCACAATGTTCCTTATCCATTTCGAAGCCTGAGCAAAGCGGAAACAATAACAGACATCTATTCGACTGACTTGAGCACAATGCTTAATTCTATGTTCTAACAACCTTTTTCCCTTTTCACAAACCGGACAAGCGACGTATCAACTGTTCCATAATAATGATCTTTGGATTCCGAGCAATCCCATGTCCTCAGCAGCCACTCACCGCTCAAGCACCCCAATGATCATTGATCCATACGAACACATTCACAACTAATCCGTTCCGAGAAGAGCTTCCTCCCTTCCGAGTCCACTCGGAACCCAACCCCACAGCGCCGCGGCGGCCGCCCGCATTCTAAAGTCCTATCCCCGCTAAACTCCGGACGGGGAGTAAGCAACCAAGCCCCCGTCGGCTGGACTAGGTACTGTCCCGAACCAGATCTCTTGCCCAATAATAGCGAATTGCTCCGCAGTTGTTTGTGGTTACTAACGGCGGCGGCGGACGGCAGGCGGCGGCGCTAGGTAAAACACGACCATTTCATGCACGAGCGGCCCGCCAAATTGCCTATTCTGGTTTAGCGTCGCCGACAACAACGACGAGGAAAGCGGTACCGTCGTCCCGTTCTTCCTTTCTTTTGGACCTGGACCAATAGTACGTACGACTATGCTGCGGTTTCCATGGGGGGCTGTCGCCGACAAGCGTGAGTCGGAGGATCAATGTCGGCGGGTGGTAAGCCTGCGGGGTGGTGGTGGTGGTGAGTATAAGACCGCTCGAAGCCTTTTTTCATCTAGAAGAGAGGAGAAAAAAGCAGCAGTCACAAACAGAGCTAGCTCTACACTTCCAAGACCACACTTCCAGTCAAGCTCGAGCAAGCACACGCCCAAGCCCAAGCCCAAGTCCACCAAAACCCACAACTTCCTCCCCGCAACCTTCCACGCAACCTTCCACGCAACCACAACCGCAACCACCCATCAAAAAAAGAAAAGAAAAGAAAAGAAAAACAACACCAACACACCATGCCTTCCCCACGTCAAGCCCCCAAGCTCTCCACCCAAACCGTCCTCGTCATCGGCGGCACCAGCGGCATCGGCCTCGCCGTCGCCGCCGAAGCCCTCGCCCAATCCGCCCAACACGTCACCATCGCCGGCTCCAACCCCGCCAAACTCTCCGCCGCGCTGTCCACCCTCCGCGCGGGCATATCCGATGGATCCCATCAACGCATCAGCGGCCACACCTGCGACCTCCTCGGCAACGGTGACGACGACAACGACATCGAAACCAACCTCCGCGCCCTCCTCGACGCCACCGTCGCCACCAACGGCGCCGGCCGCATCGACCACGTCGCGTACACGGCGGGCGACGCCGCGGCGCTGGCGGCGCTGACGACGCCGGCCGCGGCGCTGACCGTCGACGCGATACGCGCGGGCGGCACGGTGCGCTTCGTCGGCCCGCTGCTGCTGGCGAAGCTGCTGCCTGCGTATGTCAGGCGGTCGCCCCCCGCCGCGGATGGGGATGGGGATGGGGATGGGTGGCGCTACCACTCCCCGTCGCTCACGCTCACCGGCGGCGTCAACGCCACGAGGCCGGCGCCCGGGTGGACGGTGGCGGCGGCGTACGGCGCGGCGCTGCGGGGCGCGGTGCGCGGGCTGGCGGTGGACCTGGCGGGGGTGCCGCCGTGTGGGATAAGGGTGAATCTCGTGGAGCCCGGGGCGGTGGAGACGCCGCTGTGGGACGGGGTGGCGCCGGGGGGCGGCAGGGAGGCGATGAGGCGGAGGTTTGCGGAGAGGTCGACGGTGGGGAGGGTGGGGAGGCCCGAGGACACGGCTGAGGCGTATGTGTATCTGATGAAGGATGGGTTTGCGGCGGGGGCGGTGGTCGAGTCGAATGGGGGGACGTTGTTGGTTTAGGGGGTTCTGGGGGGTTTATTTTGGTTTTTGGTTTTTTCTTGGACTGGGTGAGAGCGGACGGTTACGACGGGTTTTGGTAGGTAGGCAGGCAGGGAGGAAGGATGTAGTTGTGGAGACGCGTCAACTGAGCTTCGCCGATGCTGCAAACGCTGGACCCGATTGAACTCAAACCATCCTCTCTGTCGCGTGCCATGTGAGCGGTGCGTTCACCGCGAAAACGCCGCCGTGAGATTTTGCAGCGTGGCCTGCGGGGTCGCTCCAGCCCAGTCACCACATTTGCTCAGCATTCCCCTTGCGCCATCCGCTTTCATCTCGCGTATGATCTGAGGAGCCTGAGCAAGGGTATACCTCATCCCATTCCTAAACTTGGTACCCAGCGTCGGATAGACGTCTGCCACACGGTCGAACAGCAGCAGGTACATGTCGATGCCTGACCTGATCTCCTCCTCGCTCTTCGTTCCGCCACCGGCGACATAGTGGAGGGCGAGCGTCCTGCCGCAGCCGTAGAGGGACGAGCCGATGTGCGGGTTGATCAGAGCGTCGACTGAAACTTTGGTTGCGTCTTGGATCATGCGGGATAGATTTTCGGTAGCGGCAACGCAGTACTCAAACCCATCAATGCTGTTGCGTGTTTCGGAGACTGGGGTGTTGACGGCCGATGACGATTGCGGAGGCTTGGATGCGGCTGTGTCGGGCCTGTGGTGAAGCAATATCACAAGAATGCCTACAATGGCGTTCAACCAGAATATGTGCGTTGCTTCTCTGACGGATGAGGACCGCAATGTTGTGGTGGATCTTGGAAGACTTAGTTTGAATCGACTGAGCTCCGTGTCCAATTGCTGGAATTCGAGGAAATGCCCGTCGGGATCGGATGAAGCCTCCAGTGAGTTCACGTGTTCTGTAATGCGGCCCAAAAGGATGTAGGCTTTCAGTATTGTTTGGTATACTGTTGAGCTACCTTCGGTTGGGGTAGACGTGGTCAATTTCCGCAGGTTGCGGGTGAAAGGCATCGTACTATTATTCAACACAGGTGTCTATAACCAAGATTAGCATGCGACTCTATCAGCGAATGACTGCAGCCCACCTTGTCATCGGCGCTTTGAAACACGTCTTCGTCGACTGGCAGATTCACCATGAACTGCCTGTCATCGATGGCGTGCGGCCACCCGCAAGGAAATGCCATACCGCGGTCCATCAAAAACAGCGTCCATATTGTTCGCCGCTGCTCTTCCTTTTCCAGCGCACACTTGGGCAGGCTGCCTTCCTGGACAAGATTGCATTGCCCACCATCGATACGGTTCAGGCCGAGTGTGACTGCCTGTCGCCAGGCTGTTCCGATGGATAGCCAGCAAAGGGGATAATCGCCCGTAGTCCATGCAAGTAGGCATATGCAAAGGCTTGCTTGGATTTCTTGCAGCGACGCATATCTCTTCTCCGTGTTCCCGCTTAATTGTTTGGCTTTAGCAAACCACTCAAGCCGACGGTCTCGAACTGTAGGATCCGGGTGGGATGCGGCCGCTATGGCAAGCACGGCATACAGCAGTGCAGCATCTTGGCGATCTGGGCTCTCGCGTCGGAACCGCTTGACCCTTTGTTGATACTGACTTTTGTGAAGAAAAGGCAGGAAGACTTGGTGGTGAGCAAAATAAATATCCACCAGTTCCAGTAGCAATGACTCGGATGGAAACCCGTTCTCTAAACAAAGCGAGGGAATCGCCACATCTGTAAGACTGCCTGACCCGGAGATGGGCGCATCGAAAGCTTGATTTTGGTTCAAATCCGGTATTTCAGTACTACAATCAAAAAGGGCCGCGAAATCCACTCCTGCCGAGTTTGTTGCATCTCCTCCTGAATCCGGTATCGTCAAGGGGACTTCAGAAGACACATCCATATGTGCATTGGTGTCCAGCAACCCTGAGAGCATGTCTGGTACGGTAAGAGCATGTTGAGCTGAACTTTGCTTTGATTGCCACTGGAAGTGAACGGCGTCCTGGAAAGGGAAGTTGCTGGCACCCAAGGCATTCGTTGATGGTTCAACGGCCCAACTGTTCCGGTCAGTGTACTCGTCAGCAGAACCAACGCCGAACGTTCGCTCCGCTGCGTAAAGCCGATTTGTGTAGTCACATGGAATTCCCCACTTGCGACAGTTGGAGCAAGTGGGACGTGCGGTCTGTGGAGAATCAATGGTGTCAACATGGAACGCAGGGCTGAAGCGGCTCAGCAGGGTTCGGAGTAAAGGGGAAACTATGAAATGAAATGAAGGAGAGGAGGACCAATAGGCTAAAGTCGTAGGAAAGGAGTGCCCGAACGTACGTCACATCTTTTCTTCCGCGACCTGCACCCGTTGCAGGGCTGCTTTCGATGCGACGTGGCAGCAGCCATTGGCGGCATCTCAAACGTTACGAGACAATGGGAAGAAAAGAGCTGGAAGCGAAGCCTGAGCCGGGAGGGATTTGTCAGAGATCCTCCCGCTTCGGCTACAGCCATTTGCTCCGGCCTTCACGTGATCACAGCCATCACAGTCATCCCTCTCTGGCTCCCCTGCCACCAGCCGGCTTTTCGGTTGGCTTCATCAACTGCAATTGGATCTTGGCACGCCGTTGGATTCGAACAACGGTGGGCCCATGTCTCATGGAAAAGGGCCGTGCTAGGACAGCGCTTATGCACTTGCATGTCGGGCATGAATTCTCGCCCGTCTGGACCGGCGCACAAAAAGTAATGGTTTTTATGCAGTGGCCCAGCCAATCGAGCTCTGCCTCTTCGCTTTGCTTTTCCAGCGTCTCCTTAATGTGGACCCTTCGGGCACCCAAATCCCTTTACCGTCCACCGCCCATGCTGCTGATCATCTCCTTGTGCGTAGCCCTGTCGCGGTTCGTTTCACTCAAAGAAGCAATGCCTAAAAGAGAAGTGTGAGCTGATGCCCGGCTGCGGCTAGCTGGCATGGAAAACTTACTCCGGAGATCGCCGACAACGTCCTTGGCTTTGCCAAAGTAAACCTCCTCTGTACGGAGTCAGCACAGGTCATTTCAAACATCGTCCTGCATGTTAGACTTACGCAGCAGGTTGCGCATCTTCAGCTCCATGTCCTCCACCATCCTGCCAATGTTCGCAACGTGCGACGTGTCATCGTCCACAGGCATGTCCTGTTCCACCTGGCGAACCATGTTTCCACTGAGATCCAACGATCCAAGATCGTTGCCATCGGTGCCGAGGTTGAGGATGACAGTGCTGGTGAGCTTGTAATGGGCAGTGCGAGCGCGGTCAAGCGCCTCGAAGACGTGTATGCTATCCCACCCGCCCGTGGTCTTGCTGGATGGCGAGACGGCTGCACATCGTTCGTCAGCAATTGCCCCGAAGCAGCCAATGCGTATCGCGCCATGCAGCGAGCAAACGTACACTTCTTCAGCAGCACACAACCCGCGAAGCCGTCCTCCATGTCCCACAGGTACACGCTCGAGATGCCGCCTTCGTAGTACCTGCATGTCACGCAATGTCAGCTGGACCATTGCCCCCCCTTCCGTCCAGCCCGCCGGCAATCGTCCAATGAGCCGGCCACACGTGTGCAGGGCACGACTCACAGCTCCCGGTAGACGTCAAAGGCTTCGTTGGCCTTGAGCTCCATCTTCCTCACGCGCTCGCTGGGGAAGACGCCCTCGCCGTCCTCCAGCGGGGGCTCGAACTCGTTGCTCCACGGACTCCGCCAGCTGTCGCCATCGCGGTTGTAGTCGCAGCACAGGAAGTCACGCTTGGTCTTGGGGCAGCGCTTCACGGCGAGCGGCACGTCGACCGACTCGAGCAGGTCTTCGGTGAGCGACGGAGCGAGCTGGCAGAGGCGGTCGACGTTCGTGGCCGTGTCCTTGGGGTTCAGGCGGCGGAGGAGGTCCCTGTCGGCGCGGCGCGTGTCAGTTTGCGGGCCACGCGGGGCCAGAGCGGGGGAGCGAGAAGCGGGACTGACAGGGCGCTATCGAAAGGGTCGGCGGAAGACATGGTGCTGGGAATTCGGGGTCGCTTGGGAGCTGTGGCGGGGTGTTGTTGTCGTGGTGCGGGACGCCCGCTGTGAGCTCGCATGGGGGGGATCAGCGCGCGCTACCTGACTCGGCTATGGAGAAACAGCTCGAGCTCCACAACCGCACCGAGACTTCGGCGTAACCACAGCCACGAGGAATTGAACTCATCCCCCCCGAAACCGACACCAGGAATGCCGCCAGTATGCTTGACGTCACACCAGACATGACACAACAACAAAACATCGATAGCAGTAAAGCCCATGGGGCATTCATTAACATGTTCGGGTGTGTGGGTAGTGTTGGGTATGCTGTATTATACAAGAAGAAGCACTAATTAAGACGGATGCATGTTTTCCAATTTTCTTCACCCTCCATTCCATATCGTCATCCATTCAAATCGTCCCTATCCTACCAAGTGCAGTGGCTAGTTCCTTACAGAGCAAGAGCGACAACGAAGATACCGGCGGCACCGGCAGCCGAGAGGCCGAGCTGAATGTTGCTGTTGGCAGCGCTGTCAGAAGAAGACGACGAAGCAGCAGAGCCACTAGCGGTAGAAGAGCCTGTTGCACCAAGTTAGCCAGCGTGTTTTGGCAATCATGACGTCCGAACATACCGGTCTGGGCAGCAGTGCCGGAAGCGGAACCAGAAGAGCCCGAGGAGCCAGAAGCAGACGAGCCGGTGGCCGAGGCCGAGGCAGAAGCGGCCGTGTTGCTGCCAGAAGAGCCGGTGGCGGCGGCAGCGCTGCCGACGGGGAAGTAGGACGAGATGCAGGACTGCTCGCAGTTGGCGTACGAAGTGGCAGCAGCGGCAGAGCCGTCGCCCTGGTCGCACTTGGCCATGCACTCGGTGGTGTCGTTGGCATTGGACTCGTTAGGGTGGGCAGTGCCAACGCACTCGGCGGCGCAGTCCACATCGCCCGACTTGCACGTGGCCAGGCAGGAAGCAGTGGGAGAGAGCGAGGCGGTGGTGGCGGACGCGCTGTCGGACGCAGCAGCGGCGAGGACGGCGCAGAGGCCGGTAACAATGGCGGTGGTGAAGCGCATGGTGGCTTAGATTATCTGATTGACGAACGACTGTCGGGTTGGTGATTGAATTGCAAGTGAGCGTTGAGCGTTGGCGCGACGGAAAGCGAAGGACGGTGGCGGCAGCAAGCAACGACAGTGGCAGCAACGGCGGAGCCTTAAATAGGAGACGGGCGCGTGGGCAGCAGGATTGGCGGCACGAAAGCATAAATAGCCAACCCCAGATTTTCGGGCACTCTGTTTCTCGCAGATTCCAGCTAGACCCGTAAGGTAGGCCCGTATTCATTCATTTCAAGCGTGCAGGGCCCCTGCCTAGCGCCGCCCGGCGCCGGATGATCTGACCGCGGCGCGTAGCCTCTGCCGGGCCCGAGACGCGTCCTGCTCCCAAACACACCCACCGACGCGCCCTCGCCAAGTCAGCTGCCGCCTCCCAGAGAGCGCCGCCCCAGCACCGCCCTAGCACCTTTTTCCCGCACACATCACCGCCGTGGGGAGGGGTCCAACGCCTGCCCGCCCCTTTGCCTCGCCATGTGCCAAGCGCGGCCGGATATGCGGTGAAACGTAGTCGGCCTGAGGCGTTTAATGACTCGCCTCACCAGGCAGGCGCCACCGGGAACGTCAATCCACCGCCGAAACGTCGTGTCTGATCTCCGCTTCCTGCTGCTGTAGCATCCGTGCGGACCGCACTACACTTGCGGTGACCATCATGCCACCCAGGAAGAGACGCCCTCTCACCGTTCTTGACAGCAGCGACCGCGAGGATGCTGCGCCCCCGACGGAGCCAAAGCCGGCAAAGAAGCGGAAGGCGAGTACGAGAAAATCCGCCGACCCACAGGACAACGAAATCCCGCCGCCCAAGAAACCCAGAGCGAGGCCGCGGAAGAGGGCCGTCTCTGAAGACGCCGGCGAACCCTCAGCTAAGAAGCCGAAACGACAGGCCCGCACGTGCCATGATGAGGATGAGGAAGAGGACTCACTGGAGAAACCGGCCAAAAAGCAAAAGAACAGAGCCTACGCCCCCGCTGAGGGAGAGTTGGAAGAAATCTTCCTGTCGCAGCTGCCGCAGGACGGTTCCAGTCCTCCCTGGAGAATTCGAGGCCCCATCTGGCAAAAGCAAAAAGATGAAAAACCACCCCCGAAACCTCCTGTCTTCTACAAACCTCCGCCACCTCCGCCTCCGCCTGCGCAGCCAACTGCTCGAGCTGACACCATCTTTCGTCCCGGCACCACCCCTTATGCGCAGCAGCGACTTCAGAACCCAAAGCAACATGGCATGCAACCCGTGAAACCCCCACGTGACGCGACGAAGGCTCTTCAACCAAGTCCTAAACGTCCTGGACCATTCCACAGCTCGCCTTTTAGCTCCCCTAGATCCCCTCGGATCCAATCACCTCCCAGAAGCCCTTCAACAATCCCACCGGGTTCGCCTATGCGAAAGCCTCCTAAGACTGCGCGCGAGGTAGCTTGTAACCCTAGTTATGAAGGGGTACAGGCACCACTTCCGTCTCGGCCTGTCGTACCAAACTTTGGAGCAGACATGGAGCTGGATCCAGCTGATTTCTCAAGTTCACCACCAAGCTCACCACCAAGCGCTCTAATCCCGACAACTGACTCAAATCACGGTGCAAACACCGCTGCCGCCCGTACTGGGCTTGCGCAGCGTCCAGTCATAGATGACAGTGATCCGCCTGTCCCCTCGATTGATGCAGCAGATGTGGAGGACTTCTTCAGCCCTGCACCAAGCCCAGCAAGACCCAATGCAGTCCCGGTGGCTCGGCCAATGGACTCGGCCGCCCCAGAGCGTGACGAGTTCGATGATGAAGACCTCGATGATATCGACGAATCTATACTTCAGCGTCTGGTGTCGCAGGGACCTCCTGCGGCCAGTAAACTCACGACGCATTCCGTTCAAACCTTGTAAGTCTCCTGAATCCCTGTGAATACCATTGATGTTAATGATCAATAGGAACGGTACTGTCGATGAAATTGACAAGGAGCTTCTCGGCCTTCCTTCTGATGCATTCTCGTTGTCATCAATGACCTCCCCAGAGTTCCAGCGAGTGGGAAAGGCTCAAGATCAAGCTATCATGATCTCGTCGCAAGATAATCAGGCACCCGCTGGGCCACAACGGCTTGCTGCTCCCCTCAACGGTTTAAGGCAGACGACTCTATTTGGTCGTTCTAGTGCTATTCCTACGTCACAAGTTAACAAGCGCCAGAATTGGCCCGCGGCCAACAAGGACGAGCCACCGACTCATCACAAAATAGACCTGGAAGCTATGAAGACGTGGGTGTACCCTACGAACCTTGGCGGTATTCGAGACTATCAATTCAACATCGTCCACCGCGGATTGTATCACAATCTTCTCGTTGCGCTGCCCACCGGTCTGGGAAAGACGTTCATCGCGGCTACGATTATGCTAAATTTTTTGCGCTGGACCACTGAGGCACAGGTTGTTTTCGTCGCTCCGACAAAGCCTCTGGTAGCCCAGCAGATTGATGCATGCCTAGGAATTGCGGGTATCCGCCGTTCGCAGACCACTATGCTGACGGGTGAAGTCGATCCTGGCCTTCGAGCAGAGGAGTGGAAGACCAAAAGAGTCTTCTTCATGACTCCGCAGACCATGATCAACGACTTGAAGACAGGATATTGTGATGCGAAGAAGATCGCTCTGCTCGTTGTGGACGAGGCACACAAAGCAACAGGCTCTTACGCATATGTCGAGATTGTGAAGTTTGTTCGACGGTTCAACCAAAGCTTCCGAGTTCTCGCTTTGACGGCAACTCCCGGCGCCGACGTTGAGACGGTCCAAAAAGTCATTGACGCGCTGGAGATCTCGCGTGTTGAGATCAGGATGGAGAATTCCATCGACATCCAACCATTCATACACAAGCGCGAAGTCGAGAAGAAAGTCCTGAGAGACAACAAAGACTTACTCGTGGCCAAGGATCTCCTGTCAAGGGCTATACAACCCGTGCAGGACAAGCTGAATCAGCAAAATGCGTACTGGTCCAAAGATCCGATGAACATCAGCCAATACGGGCTCAACCAAGCAAGAGCCAGCTGGATGAAGTCAGATTCTTTTCGGAAAGCGTCACAGCCCATCAAAGGCATGGTCAACTCCATATTCCAGGCTCTCATGGGCTTGGGTCGTGGAATCGATGTGCTGAAGTTTCACGGCCTTCGTCCATTCTACCGCATCCTTTGCGATTACAAAACTGACGCGACGAGTAAATGGAAGAAGGAGATCACGAACAGCCCGAGTTTTGAGAAGCTTATGAAGCTACTCAGAGATTGGACCGCGAAGCCTGACTACATCGGGCATCCGAAGCTCGAGCACCTTCGCGAACATGTGCTCAACCATTTCTTGGATGCAGGAGAGGGCGCTGACGGGTCGCATACCAAAGTCATGGTCTTCGCACATTGGAGAGATAGCGCAGAGGACATCGTTCGGGTGCTCAAATTGAATGAGCCCATGATCCGGCCTCATGTTTTCGTAGGGCAAGCGACCACCAAAACTTCCCAAGCCATGGACCAACGGCGTCAAGAAGAGGTTGTGAGACAATTCAAGGCGGGTGTTTACAACACGCTCGTAGCAACGTCGATCGGAGAGGAAGGCTTGGACATCGGAGAGGTTGACCTCATTGTCTGCTACGACCAAAAAGCCTCGCCGATCCGCATGTTGCAACGAATGGGCCGTACCGGTCGAAAGCGCAAAGGAAAAATCTTGTTGCTGCAGATGACGGGGAAAGAAGAGAACGATGCACTCAAAGCCAAGGACGCGTACGAAAAGATGCAAGAGAAGATATCCAAGGGCGACGAATTCAACTTCCACACCGGCCTGGCCAGAAGGATCGTGCCGAGGGACATCAACCCTGTCGTGGACATGAAGCACATAGAGATTCCCATTGAGAACTCACAGCTCGATTTGCCCATGCCCCGGGCAGGGAAGGGTAGGAAGACCAAGCGGCCGGCGAAGAAGTTTCAGATGCCGGACGGTGTGATCACAGGGTTCGTCTCCGCGGCTGGTCTGAACGGTGGGTCCGACGATGGAGGCAAGCCTCGGGCGACGAAAAGGGGGAAGAAAGCGCCAGTCATGGAGGCCGTGGAGCCTCCGGTTCCGGCAGAGGAAATATTCCTCAATAGCCATGAGGAGAGGCAGCTTCAGAGATGGTACCAGAACATCGACGACGCAGACGACGACAGAGAAATCGCGCCGCCGGCATTGACCTTACATCCAGAGCGACAGCGACGGAAGGGGCGGACGAAATATATCCCAACACACAGTCGAGCCACCATGAACCTTATCAAGACGGCCAATCGAATGCACGCCATGGATCAAGGTGGAGCCAGCGAACTCGAGAAGAGATTCAGAGACAGTTTGCACATGTCGGATATCGAGGAGGGCCCGTCAGCAGACGAGGTTTCGGAGGAGGAGGAAATGGGGAGTAGTGATGACGAGATGGGGCATCACATGGGGATCACACCAAAGCAATCAAACAGGCGAATCGCGGACGAGGTCGGAGAGGGCGAGAGCAGCAGCCCACCGCCAACGGATCCCCGAATGCGGGTCAGGTCGCAGGCCATCGACCTCGGCACGCAAGACACGGAAGGCGAAGACGAAATGGAGAACGAACAGCTCGACTCGGAGCTGGCCGAGTTCATCGCCGACGATGCTGAGCCGGTTGAGATGTTCAGCTCTTCGCTGCCCTCTATCAGAGCGAGCAGAAAACGCACGAAACTGTTCACGTCCTCTCAAAGAGGGCCGGAGGACTCGGAGTCGGACGACGAGCTGCCTGATATCGGCCAGTTGATTGGGAAGCGGCAAACGAGCCCGACGGACAGCGATGTAAACGATGCTGTGGTCATGGATAGCGAGGACGAGGACGAGGAGGATGAGGGAGCCGAGCCGGTAGTGCGTCTAGGCGGGAAAAGAAGAAGAGTGGTAGACGACAGCGAAAGCGATTGATGATGATGATAAATGGAATGGAATGGAATGAGATTTGCCGTGCTATAGGGCGTTCGTGCCTTGTTGCCCACGCTTAGCTTCAGGGCGCCCTGGAAAGGTGTTTCCATAGTAGGAGCATGCACGATAGAGGATGTTTTGTAGCAGAAATAATGGCGGCGATGGAGGCGGTGGAGGCGGTCGGTAGCCCCACGCCAACGAAGCCCCTTAATTCGTCGTCGGACTACTCCGTACTGGGCGGCTTCTAGAACACGTGTTTGCAGGGTTTAGTACCTAGGGATCTGCTCAGGCGGGCCGGCAGGATGCCGGGGTTCCGCGCGTTACGTCGTCGTGGCCGAGTGCTAAACGCGCGCATGGCGCCCCACCTGCCTCTCCCTTCCTGAACCCTTTTTTCTCTTTTTTCTTTTTTGTATTCCAACAATTCCTTGTCCCTGTCCTCGCCGGTGCCGCCGCGCGCACGACATGGTTTGATACGGCTGCACTCGTTCCCGGCGCGCCCCTGGTTACCCCCGAAAAGAAGAGGGAAAGAAGCAATTGCACACGCAGCCGCAAGCAACACGGCTGTCGCCCTGAGCCATGAATGCATATGGCGACAATGCGTTGGATGCGCGAGGTAGACTCCCCTCGAAATTTTCAATCAGCTGCGCGCCCAGGGTCCTGCTCCTGCGACCCTGTCCCCGCCCTCCCCCACACCGCCACGAATCCATGCGTGCGAGCCATGGCTGACAACGTCCTCGACCCCGCGCAGGCATATCTCCCGGATCGTCATGGGCCGACATCCCGACCGCGCTGCTCCACGCTGAGCTCGAGCGGAGACATGGCGGCATGAAGCAATCGACGGCGGCGGCGGCGGCGGCGGCGGACGGGTCGACGCCGGCGTGCGGGAGCAAGACGAAGGGCGAGTACAACACGCCGCTGCACGTCTTTGCGCTGGTGTTGATTCTGGTGCTGAGTACCGCAGGTAAGCAAGAAAGAAGGGAGAAGGCTCTGAATGAAGCGCTAACGGGCGATTGATCGCACGCAGCCTGCGCCTTTCCCATCATCGTCCGCCGATTCCCGCGCCTCCCCGTCCCACACCACTTTTTGTTCCTCTCGAGACACTTCGGCACCGGCGTGCTGATCGCGACGGCATTCGTGCACCTCCTGCCCACGGCCTTCACCTCGCTGACGGACCCATGCCTGCCGGCTTTCTGGAACCAAGGATACCCGGCAATGGCCGGCCTGATTGCCATGACGGCCGTGTTTGTGGTCGTGGGGATAGAGATGTTCTTCGCAAGCAGGGGAGCGGGCCATGTGCACGGCAGCGACTACGACACGCTGGGCGGGGGAGGAGCCGGTGGAGAGGCACACGGCCACGCTCACGGACACGCCAGCTACGAGATGGGCAACGGCCGGCCGCGCAGCCACGGCCGCAGCACGAGCTTCAACCGCTTCAAGTCGGGCAGCTTGCGGCCGGGCGACGGCGACGACGACGACGAAAACTACGCCGAAACGGACAACCTGGTCGCCGGCGTCTCGCCCTCCATCCCCCCGCCCACCCCGTCCCCGGCCCACGCCCACACCCGCATCCCGCTCGACGACGACGAAGAAGCCCAGACGAAGCCCATCCACGGCGACGACAGCGACTCCGACTCGGACCTCGACCTCCCAGAGCTCGACTACCTCGCCCCCGGTACCGCCTCCTCCACCGACGCCTCCGGCCTCCTCAACGGCGCCCCATCCCAAAAATACCGCAACAACGACACCCACAACCGCCAAAGCACCGACTCCACCCACCACCACCACTCCCTCCTCACGCCCACCCAACAACAGCGCAAGCAGCTCCTCCAATGCCTCCTCCTCGAAGCCGGCATCCTCTTCCACAGCATCTTCATCGGCATGGCCATCTCCGTCGCCACCGGGCCGCCCTTCCTCGTCCTCCTCGTCGCCATCTCCTTCCACCAGACCTTCGAAGGCCTCGCGCTCGGGTCGCGCATCGCCGCCCTCGCCTTCCCCGCCCGAAGCCCGAAACCGTGGCTCATGGCGCTCGCGTACGGCACGACCACGCCGCTGGGCCAGGCCGTGGGGTTGGGGATACATGGCTTGTATGACCCCGCGAGCGAGACGGGGCTGTTGACGGTGGGGGTGATGAATGCGGTTAGTAGCGGGTTGTTGTTGTTTGCGGGCTTGGTGGAGCTGTTGGCGGAGGACTTTTTGAGCGATGCGAGTTATCAGACGCTGAGGGGGGGGAGGAGGTTGCAGGCTTGTGCGGCGGTGGTGGCGGGGGGTGGGTTGATGGCGTTGGTGGGGGCGTGGGCGTGAAGATGGCGTGGGTGGGGGAGGAGGGGAGAAGGGGGGAGGAAATTGTGTTGATGAAGATGGTCGGTTTGGCCGTCATACATACAGGAGGCTGGCTGGCTGGCGTCGGGAGGGATGTGTCGGGGGTTATATGTGCTTGTAGCTGGTTTTTTGTTTTGATAGGATTGTAAATAGTATATACATGCGGACGTAGGATGATTGTTGCTTCTCGCTCTCTCCGCTCCTCTCCTCTCTTCTCTCTCATATGGAGAAAGCACGAAGAAAGAGAGGAAAAAAGGACAGTGAACGGGTAAGACATACGGATTATCTCCATCCACACACACCCTTCGATACTATAAACCCATAATAAAATAGCAGCATTCACCAAACACCAACCACCACCCACCAAAACCTTTCCTTCAACAACGAAAAGAAAGAAAAAAAAAGAAAAAACAAAACATAGAACCATCTAAGCCCTAGCTCCAAGACACAAGGCCCAAGGCAAGTAAGTAGCCAGGCAGTCACGCCACGCCACGCCACCATGCAATCGATTCATCCGTTTCCTTTTTTTTTTTTCCTTTTCCCCCCCGCTGCATTCGGCCATCTCCCAGCCTTCCTTCCCCCTGAGGAATGCGTCGTCGTCGTCGTCGTCCATTATACATTACCAATGGGAATGCTGTTGTACCACCACCACCGCCGCCGCCGCCGCTACCGCCGCCGCCGCCGCCGGCCCTCACGCCACACCGGTGAATGGCGAGAGATTGCTTGTACGACATAAGCAGGGGCACGGGGGAAGAAAAAGAAAAGGAGGGGGGGGCGAGGGCGAGGGGGGAGGGGACGGGGACGGACCGGACTGGACCGGACTGGACTGGACCGCGTAAAGATTCTTTCTTTTTATTTTCTCTCTCTCTCTCTGCTCCGCTTTTGCTTTTCCTCCTCCACCCTCCCTCCCCGCTCGCTTTCTCTCTTTTGAGAAAATGGCAAAGTGATATGGTATGCAGGTTAGAAGTTTCGATTAAACGGAGAAAGGAGAAAAAGAAGAGGATGAGGATGAGGAAGAAGAAGAACGTGCAAAGTGAGAGATGGCATCATCGGCGCCGGAGATGTCCATATCAAACCGCGCGATGCGTGCACGGTCTGACGCCGCTCTCTCACCAGCGAGACGGGCTCGAGCTCATGATATATATATAGAGAGAGGAAGGGAGTTAGAGAAAGACATCTCGAGTCTTAAACAATAAAAGGTCGAACTAGAACAAAACAACGCCTAAATGACACCCAAACGTCCCAAAAATCCATATGCCAAACGAAGACAAAACAAAACACAGTCAGAGACCTCCTTCATACATGAGACAGAAGAAGCACAGCACAAATCACTTCAATATCAATCAAGCCAAACACGAACGGTAGGAGTTTATATTATCGAACCCTGTATCCATCCATTCCCCCGGCGTTCCGTCCGGTCCAACGCCTCTTCCACCCAGAATGCCCCCCCAATCGCTGTGATATATAACGACAGCTCAAGAAAGAAAATAGTACGAAGAAAGGAGACAAAAGACACACAGACGCCAATGCCAATTTTTGTTGTTTTCACCAACGCTTCCCACTTGTTGTGATGAAAAGATGATGAACGATGCGCCGCAAAAAATGCTCTTCCACAAAGCCTTGATGCTTGTTCCTTCTTATTCAACACAGAAGGCTGACTGAGAGAGCCCAAAGAAGAAAAGAGAACAAAAACGATACATCGATGCATCGATGCGATGCTTCCCCTTACATGCTCGATAATGACAAAATGCGCTGATGATATATGCGGCGGTGAAAGAGATGATGAACCCCATCCCCAAACGTCCAAGAGACACCGGAATGAATATGCTCAAACGCTATCGCCGTGCCATTAGACCGCTTCTGACTCGTCCCCGCTCCTGGTGTGTCGGTATGATTACAGCCTCTTAACCTCTCCTGGGCGATTTGCCAGACTGCTTCTGGTCCCAGGCAGCGCCGTAGGGCTGCGGGGTGAAACTCTGCTGGCTGGGTTGTTGGTGCATCATGGGCATTCCACCCATATATCCTTGCTGCTGTTGTTGCTGCTGCTGCTGTGGCTGTTGAGGAAAATAGTTGCCCTGCATCGCGAAGTTCGACCCCGGGGTAGGGGTTCCCATCGCCATGCCGTAGTTCTGCATGGGCATTTGCATGCTCTGCATGCCCAGGCCCATTTGCATCTGGTTCTGTTGCATGTTCTGCGCCTGCATCATCTGCATTTGATGCTGCTGACGCATCATGGCAGCTTGCTGCTCCTGCTGAATCCGCAGGTTTTCACGCTCAGCGCGTCGCTGTGCGTCGCGCTCAGCCCGCGCCACCTCGGCTTGAACCTGGTGCTGACGAGCAACAATGGCTTGTTGCACGAGGGCGTTACGGCTGCCCTTCTTGAAGTCATCCTTTTCCCTTTGTCGGGCTGCGATGGCGCCAACGAGGCCATTGTGCTTCTCGGGTTCAGGCTGGTTTTGGGACTTCGCCATGTTGATAAGCGGGGTGCCAGTGAGGCGAGCGACATGCTCTTGCTCCCGAGCGGAGAGCTGCGCAGACTCGGCAGATTTAATGAGACCAGTGGGCTGTGCATTCAGCATCGCGTTGGCGCCCCTCGAGCTGGGACGGGCAGAGGGATAATCCAAAGGTGTTGACGCGCCACGTGAGTGGTAGCGAGACGCCTGAGCACCCTCATTGAGCAGCTTGGATGCATTCCGCGAATGAGGGCGCATCGGGTCACGCTCCTTCGGCGGTGTACGCTGGTGGAGCTGAGACCAATCCCCAGATGGATTCCGGCTCATCGTTGGGGTCTTGCTTTCAGGCCCAAGGAGATTGGGAGTGGATTGGTTCCGTCCGTGAGAGAATACTGGCGACACACTCGAGCCGGCACGCTGGTGGACCCATTCCTCGGGCGTCAGGCTCTTGCGATAGCCTGGGCTCGCACTGCGACGACCCGGGGTTGGCTGCCAGAGTGCGCTCCGGCGGCCGTCTTCGCCATCCTGGTTTGACTGCGGCGACTTCGAGTTCGCGCGGCGATGTCCTGGGGTGTTTGGGCTGGTCCTGCCAAATAAGGCGTCCTGAGGTGTGTGTGGATTCGAATAATCAGTAGCGGACAGACGATCCCTTGATTTCGACCTTGAGTGGCCTTCCTGAGTGATGGTGCCACTGGTTCCAGGACGCACCGAGTTGGGGTCAGTCTTGGTCAAATCGTAGGTGGGGCCAAAATCGATCGTGGGAAGATCCATCTTCTCATTCGGCCTTGCGTCCTCTTTGTAGCGTGCGTCGCCGACAACAACCTCTTCGTGAGCTGGCGGCGGCGGCGGGATATCGCCAACGGTCTTGAGCCGCCCGACGCGAGGTCTCTCGACCGACGGTCTCGACTGCTTCGTGCTCGCACTCTTGACGCTGGCGTAGTCGGGCGTCCCAGTGGACTCGTCATCATAGACACTGCTGGACATAGTCTGCGTTCGCTCAGCTTCATCCTGAGCGGCCAGCTGGTTGAGAATCGTGTCAGGATTAATCATATCTCTTCGAAAACTGTCAAGACTCGAATTTGAAGGAGATTTAGGAATGGCGGGGTTGTCCGCCGAAAGGGGAGTGCTAAACCGACCTGGAACTGGCTTCCGCTGAATGCTATGTCTGGCAGAGAGACCTCCGGGCGACTGCGAGCCGTAGTAGGTGCGGTCGTATTGACCACCATGATTAGCGGCAGCCGCTACGTCCTGGTTGGGAAAGTAGTCCTGGGGCATTTCCTTGTGCTCGGGGACCGGAGGGGCCACGGGAGCGAAAGTGGGGCTAGTCGCAGAGTGAGGTTCACCTTGTGCAATGTATGGAGATGCAGGAATCGTAGGGAGCCGGTTGTTCTGTTGGTCGTTCCAGTACGAACGATTCTCTTCAATCGACTGCCTTTTGACATCAGCATACGGATGCTGGTTGCGCTCTCTCTCGTCACTCAAACGACCTTGAGAGGCCCAGCTGTTGGGGTTCGACTTCCAAGCGGCCGCGGCTGCAGCCGGAGCGAGATGTGCTGGAATGGGCCTGTGGCTGGCTTCAGCCATCTCCTGAAGCGTAGCCTCGTCGATGCCAGATTGGGCTCGGCGCATCTCTTCGGCCTCGTAAGGTTGGATCCTCGGCTTCTGGCCGGGTCCGTGAGAGAACTCAGGAGGCGAGTGAACAGGGGTAGGGGGAGGCTTAGCAGCGGACGTGGCGCCGATCTCGGGGAGATCGTGGGGTGATTCGCCTTCTGACGCAAATTGGTCATGACCAGACGAGTGCGTCGAGGAGACGTCGCTTGCGGGGCTGTCGCGGTTCAGGCCGTTGAGCGCAACGCGATGGGGTGGCGGTGGGGGTGCACCGTCATAAAGATCGTCCGAGGCATTGCGGCTGTGCATCAGCCTCGAATTTCCGACGCGTTCAGAGACTGAGCGCTGGTGGCGCATCAATTGGCTGCCGGGGGAGGCGGTTTCGGCGCGGCGTGGTGGCTGGACGCTGAATTCTCCACCCCTTGCAGGAGACACATTCCGGGTGCCAGGCTGGGAGTGAGTAGAGCTGCCATCGTTGAACCGAATAGATGTCGTGCGAGACGGGGGCAAGCTGGTCCGGCTTGTGGTGTTGCGGCGGCTGCGCTGGCGATCGGGCGGGACGGCCGTCATCCTCTTGGAGGTCAAGTCCTTCATTTGCTTCCTCCACTGCCGTTCAGACCAGTTCTGACTGCCATCGCCGTGGATCAGGCTTGCCACATCCAGAATGTCCAAGTATCCATATCTCCGATCCTTGGGCATAGCAAACATTAGAGAGCGGGTATCCAAAGCATCGGCCACCAAGCGTGTCGGTCTGCCGTAGATTCCGAAAGTATCAAACACGGGGAAAAGGAAGCGGAGCATAATCTCAAAACCCGAAACTGCGGGGTGCGCCTCAGGCATGACGAAGACGAAGCCTTCCGTGGTCGACTCGGGCTTCGAGTGGATGGTGATGCGGCCCTCGACCTTGACCAACGTCGACTGATCAATGAGGGGCTTCGATTGTGGATAAATGGCATAAGCCGAGTATGCATCTGTGATGGTAGCGATCGGGCGCGTCTTCTTGTTGATTTTTCTCGTCTCGTAGAACTTGACGTCACCCTTCAGAACCGGTTGCGAGCGGTCGTAGATGGTCTGCTTCTTCAGGGCCTTCTGGATCTTGTTGACCTCCTTCTCGTCCGGTGGGGTAATGACACACCAGCAGCGTCTCCATGGCGTGCCAGCGCCGAAGCGCACTCGAGCCCAGTCCTCATACTTGAACTTGGTCCTCTCCATGATCTGGCGGATATTGTTCAGGAACCGGCCCTTTCCGGCGATGAGCGATCCGGTGTAGGCTTCCTGCAAACTGGCGTGCTCGAACATGGCGAGGCGGATGCCAGCCGTCCATTGGGTGAGAGAGTTGACAGAATTAAAGTGGAAAAGGTAGCGGTTGTTTGCTGCTGTCGATACGCTCAAGACGTTGTTGAGCATCTGGCTGCCCGGGCCGTTCATGGGTAGCGATTCAATCTGCCACTGTTGTCAGTCCAAACACGGGCGTGACCAGGCTGCGGGCCAGCGTACCATCTTGATCGAGGCATCGGCCAGGTTGATGAAACTCGGCACAACCTCGCCATCCTCGCCGGCTTCGTCTAGGCGCTGGGCATCCCAGACCGAAAGCACGGTTCCTACCAGCTGGGCGAAGACTTCTGTCCAATTCCGGTCGGGGCTGGGACGGCCACCTGCAAATGTGTCAGCTCAGCCGGGGCTGGCGGGAACGGTGCGAGAGGCACACGTACGGGCGTCGAGGTCGTGCAGCTTCAGGAAGTAGCCCTCCTGGTAGAGCTTGTTCGAGTGTGAGTTGAGGAAAGTGAAGATGGGCTGCAGCTCGGGCAACGTGTCTTGGGCGACCTCCATCAGCGGCGGCTGGTAGGTCTGGACCATGGAGATGGGGCGCGAGGAGGGGCGCGAGTCGGAGCGCTGGCGCTGCTGCTGGGTGGGCGAGGACTTGACAAAGTTGTCGAGGTTGTGGCTGGCCGGGGCAGGCGCGACCTGGGACTGCGCCGGGGACTTGGGCGAGTTTGCAGTGTCGCGGGAAGGCGTGTTGCCGCGGGGCGAGGAGGAGCCGCCCCATTGGGACATGAACGAGAGGACTGCAAGGGAGTCAGCGACATGCGTGGCCTCCAGCCCGAATTAGCAGCATTAGGGTTGACGCACCCCGCGGGCGAGGCATGTTCGCGGCGTGTGGCTAGCCGGGCAGGTGGATTCACGGCAGAAGGCGTGTGAGGAGCTAGCTGGCTAGCTGGCTGGAGCAGCGCGCGCGTCAGAGCACGCGGAGCGGGTGCAGGACTGGCAACGTGAGACGGGAGCGAGCGACAGGCAGCGGCGGCGGCGGCGGGGGCAATTAAAGCAGCTGCGGACGCGGCGGTATGAAGGAGAAGGGGCGGCTCGAGGCTGAAGCAGCAAGGACAGCGGGAGGCTAAAATGGGCAAAAAAAAGACGCTGGCGGGAGCGCGCGGGTTGCGCTCAGGGTCAGCCGCCTGCTGTATGACGCCTGCGGGTGACGTGCCGGAGCCGATCGGTGGGTGGACTGCTGGCCGTGTTTCAGGGCGGCGCGTCCGCGGCGAGCGACCTGCAGTTAGCTATGGCTGGCGCTGCGGAAGGATGGGAGCGAACAATCACGGCGGACAATGCGGCTGTCTTTCGCTTTAAGAGAATACGAGCGCCGCGCTGACGCATCCGGCCATGGTGGAGGATTACGTCTCCGCGAGCATGCGGTGCGCGTGAGGCTTCAGCTCTTAACCCAATCCAGCTGGGATTGCTCGTAGGGATCGCCTTGGGCCGGGGTCGCTGCTCAGGGCCGCCGAAGTGGCTGGGTGCGACGAGCCCGCGCCCAGCCTGTGAGGCCGTGCCCGCGCGCCAGACAGGAAGGAGCCGCTCCTCGACAACCATGCTGCCATGCTGCTCACCACAAGCTGAGCAAGCTACCTACACCCCAGCGCACCCGTGCAGCCGCGTGCGCCCCACGCGCCACCGGCAATCAGCCTCCGCGCCTGAAGCTGCGCCGTCGCGTCGCCCGCCAGAGCCCGCGTCGCCCGAGCCTCGAGCTCAGGCGCGCACCAGCCCGCCGCCGCCCCCGCCGCCGCCGCCAAAGCCCGAGCTGCATCTCCCACGCAGCGTTCCTGCACCCTCCCGCACGCATCGTCGCAAAGCTCCACCCACCCCGCCAGCGCCATGGCCGATCCAATGCCGCCCAAGGCCAATGCGCGCGCAGCCCGCAGCCAGTCCGCCGCCAGCTCGCGCCGTGGAGACTCGGTGGCCAACGACCGCCCGTCGTCGACGGCCTCGGATGCCAACGGCAACGGCAACCCCGCCGCCGACCGGGACGACGACCAGAGGGAGGAGGACAAGAAGGAGCTGCCCACCCTGGATTGGTCCAAGTTCCACTACGCCGGCTTCACCGTAAAACACCATTCGTTCCCCACCGAGCCGGCGAGGCCCAGCAAGAAACGCAAGCGCTCCTACGCCCGCAAGCCGGTGCTCGAGGACAATGCCTTCGACGAGTCGATGCAGGTCCTGTACACAGTCGAGCCGGCCAAGTGGTGGGACGACACACGGAGGTACCGCAAGTTTACCAGTGAGTAGGGGCGCTCTCTTGCGGGCGTGGGAACGGATAACTCTAACAGGGCGCCATCGTCGTCGTGATGGAAAAGTCGCCGGCGAGTGTTTCCGGCTGGGAGATACCGTGTTCGTGAAGCCTGCCGAGAATGAATTGGAGCACGGCCATCTGGAAAGCTGGGTCGCAAAGGTGCTGGAGGTGCGCGCCGCCTCGGAGCAGCACGTCTTCCTGCGCATCATGTGGCTGTACAGACCGGAGGACCTTCCTGGCGGCCGTAGGCCTTACCACGGCCAAAATGAGGTGGTGGCCAGTAACAGAATGCAAATCATCGATGCTTTGACGGTCAATGGAAAAACAAGTCTCACGCACTGGACCGAGGAAGATGGCGACGATGTGCTGGATGCCGACCAACTATACTGGCGTCAGACGTATGACTGGGCATACGGCAAGGGTACCAACGTACTTTCCGTACGTACCAAACCCGCAGCACCCCAGGTGGAAAGGCTAATGCGGGCTGTTATTATAGTCTCTTCGCAAGCACTGCATCGACGACGCACCCTTCAACCCCGACTCCGTACTTGTTCACTGTGACTCGTGTAATATCTGGCTGCACGCCGAATGCCTCGAAATGGAAGCTGTCAAGCAGGCTCATGCAGACAAAGGCCTTCCGGAACCCACCCCCCTCCCATCCCCGCAACCCGAGCCATGCACGCAAGCTGCCGAAAACGGGGTTGTTAAGTCAGAGGTCGAAAATGAAGAAGTAAAGGCCGAGGATGTGGCGCCAGTCTTCGAGGCGGAGGTCAAGACCGAGCCGGACGGGAAAAGCTACATTCTCCTCAAGGGCATAGGAGGAGGACACGTCGGAGAGGAGTTTGAAAAGGCGATTTACTGCCTGAAGTGCCGCGCGCTGATCGAATGAATTAGGGAAACAAGTCAGTATTTGGATGATATACTTCGCCTTTGGAGACGACGTTTCTATGCAGCTCATTACGACATGGGTTTATGGCGAGGGTTCAAGCGAGCGAGGCGTTCACGGGTGAGTCGATGCAACGAAATAAAGGGGAGAAAGCATGATGTATATTTAGACGATATTCCCTCTGCTTTTGTCGTTGTTGACCAGTTCGGAATATAGCGTAGTAGCGATGATGCGAGATGGGAGACTCCAAACCGCCGCCATGCTCGCGACAGCTGGCCCGGTGACAAATTATGATATGAATGTTGGACGTGTGCACTGATCAGCGGACCCTGAAATGTAGGGAGTCGATGCTGTTCCGTCTCGCATGGCGGGGTGTGGCTATTAATGGATCAATGGCAGATTGGACAACAAGGCCGACACTTCGTGATGGGCATTCAGCACTGTTACCGCGAGGCCGGAAGAAGCGGGTCCACGGTGCAGGGACGCAGGGATGAGGTCAGATTTCCCTCAGCCGCACATCCTGGCATCACCATCCCCACTTGGCGTACGCAAGCACCGCCTCCTTCGATCCCCCGTCCGGGGTAAAAAGGGAAGCGACGTGTCGATAATCTGCTCACTGGTCTACACCGCCCACATGTCAGTCGAACTACATAGGTGGCTGTCAAACCTTGGCAGTAGTAGTAGTTCCCAGCCTTCGTGCCTCCCCAAACCCGGTTTCGTTCCCTGTCCCTTTTTCATTCTTGCGCTTGCTTGCCGGCCCGGCCGGACTCGACGCTATTGACTCCCTTGGCAAGCTTATTTCTTTCTCCAATAATAAGCTAGGGAGGGGGGAAGGAACGGAAGCCAGGGCCGGAATGTGCAAACGCCTCGTCACCCGAGAGGCGGGCGGTCTGGGCGCCGTTTTGGCAAAATGACCAAAAGAAGGGGGGAGGGGGGAGACGGCCGCGCGTGCTTGCGTCAACATCTGACAAGGCGGCGCGTACCCTTTGCTGACCCGCAGCTTGCTTTCGGCATACGTAGCACCACTCGATTTTCTTTTTTATTGCAAACTCAACAACTGGGCCTAACAATGGTAGAAAGAAGAAGGAAAAGGGAAGGAAAAGGGACAACGAAATCAAACAGCAGTATCCCGCCTTACTCGAACCCAGTAGCACAAAGCTACCAATCGCACACCACGACTCTTCTCCTTCTTTTTCGCCAGACGCCGCTGAGGATTTCCTGCCAAGGTGTTGAGTTCACGGTAGCGGTATGCGCCAAGCTAAACGGCCAAGCCTCTTCCTTTCCCCTATCCGGCCTGATCCCGTTTCTATTCTCAAACAAACTTGCCGCCATCCGCCATCGTTGCGCAGCGAAGCGGGCGGGGCGCGCATGACGTTTCTGGCAGGCCGTTTCGTTATTGGTCGACACTGGATGACACTGCTCTCTCGTTGGTTGATGGCTTCACTTCGTAGTAGCCCGTACGACGGACGGACTGCCGCACATTTCACTCTGGACGTAGATGCAAGTATGAAACATGTACAAACGCAGGATCCTACTCTTATATCAGATGGGTCAATTTCTTTCTGCACCCACTATGGCCTGGTGATGCTCGCCATAGCTGTGTTCGGGAGACCGACCAAGCGACTTCGTAAATCCTCGGGAGATGGGGGGTATGAGAGACACCAAGAAAGGGGGGGAACGGGATCCGTTGACTCTGATGATGTTTCCAGGGATACAGTGCACATTTTGAAGCTAGGCGGTCGTTGAATCATGCTGTTGGCATCACTTTGCCATAAGCTTTCACAAATGGGTTTGGCATCACGCTCTCCGCTGTCCATCGCTAGTCTCTAAGCCAACTCGATGAAACACCGTTCGTCTAGGAGTTTCCATTCCTGATTGCCCATAAGAGATCCAATGAAACAGGACTGTAGCATTGCTGCCATCAGACTCTTGGAGTTGAAGCAGATATATAAATGCTTACGATTAATAAAAGCGATAATAACAGTGCCCTAACGGCTCCTCGAGTCCTTTATATGCTATAGTGAGGCTGTTATAATACTAACGAGCTCGGCCTTGTCATAGATCTAATAGAGTGAAAAGAACATCCCTTTTAGGTGCATGAATTTGGATAAATACGATATAGGTATGTGGATAGCCTTAGTATCGCGAACCTAAGTCGATGAGAATGCCTCGCTGGGGTATCTTTAAAACGTTGACTATAAAGTATAACCGCCATTTATTTTATTAGAATTATTATAAAGATAAGGCCTCTTAATTTATTTGGCCAGGTACCTACGCTCTAAAGCCCCTCTAGATTCGTTTACGTTCGGATGCTCGCGAGTTTCGATCCCTGGTTGACACGTATCTCTTTAGTTTTTTTTTTGTAGTAGGAGGAGGGGGTATCTTATACTTAGCGACTGTAACTTTAATCTTTTCTATTAAGATATGGTCCACCATGGCACTAAGCCTTATAGTTAAGCAAAGTAACCCTTTAGTCGTAGTATAACCACTTAGCATAGAAATATCTATCTATCCATACAACAATTAAGTCGAGGTATAACGAACTTATAAGTGATTCGTTTTAACTACGCCTTTTATATATTGTTCTCACTTTACGTATTTCAGCATTAGTTCCTAACATTATCTCATCGCATATTGGCCTCCACCACACATCCGAAGGGGGGAATAAGGAATAGTAAGACTAGCTGTGGATTTATATTCCGAACAACCGAGGGCGAGCAGGCAAGCCATGGAATTTCGCAAACATAAAACTTCTAATTGGGTGCTACATCATTAAGTAATGGGTGAGAATTTGACTCGGCTGTCAACTTAGAGCAATGTCATCAAAAGCGGATTCGAAAGGAACCAAGCCCATCCACAAGTACCTTAGATGCCAATAATATCATGCTTACGCGGGTGGTAGATTGTAACCTCTCAAAGTGTTTATACAGGTTTACAGGTAGATGGTCATCCGTTGACTACACGTGTAGGAAAACGGTAAACGTAGCGTTTTTTCAAGAACGAGAAAAAACTTGACTATGCTCTGTACCATCAACACATCTGCCAAACACCGGGCACAGTTGTTATCAGCCAAGACGTAGAAGAAACAGATGCGCCACGTTCATTGCAAGGAACCCGTTAGCCACACAGTTCGCAATAGTTTCCAATGGATCACGCCAGGATACTCTGATGGGACTGCAACGAACAAACCGTACGTGAATACCAAAAAGCGGATAAAAGAACTAGCAAGGAAGATGGAACATTCCGACAAAGGTCGCCATCCGCTGCACGATCTACACACACCAAACACAAGCGCCCCCATCCCCCTCTACGCCGCATCTCTCCCTACCCAGTGCCCGCTTACCCCAAAAAAGAACGGAGCCCCAAGGACAAAATTCTCCGAAACCGACGGGGTACGTGACGATGATCAATCACATGCCATCATCACACCAAACCCCAGACGTACGGACTACTCGGTCCGTAGCGACCAGACCACAACACCACTCCTTCCGACTACCCCGACCCACAAAACCTTAACCCAACCACCTCTCAGGCTCTCCCCCCCCTCCGCCAAGCCCTTGCTCTATATGCCACGAGGACAGAGGCAAGAAGTCGGAACAACCCGTCGGACTGTCGGGCTTGCTTCGAGATAAATCCGACCGTCCACACATCCATCCCGTTGTCAATCCATCGGCCTAATAATGGTTAACTCTCCACATCACAAGACGTGCGTGCCCCCTCCCCCCTCCCATAAAAAGCAAAACGACCAGTCGATCGTACCGCCCCCATTCCCGGTCAGTGGGCAGCCGGCGAAGGAAGGAACGAGGTTCCGTGCTGTGCGTGCGTGCGTGCGTGCGTGCGTGTGGGGGGACGGGGGGACGGTAGGGGCGGGGGGACGGAGGGGAGTGGGGGAGGACGGGGGAGGACGGGGGAGGACCGTACGTTATTGCTTCCTGAATGAGCATGCATCAGTAAGTAACAGGAAGGTATCCCGTGGGGACGGACCGGACACCGGCCGCCGGGCTGCTGGCTGGCTGGCTGGCTGGCTGGCTGGTAGGTAGCGAGAGACGGGGCTCAATCACCAGAACAGGCCAGACCATGAGACCAGACTAGCTTTTCTGCACGAACGAACGGCCGGAACGTGCCGAGGGGGGTGATGATGGTCGTCAGGGGTGGAGGTGGGGTGTAGGGTTGAGCTTGGGATTGGAGAAGCGGCGGCGGAAGGAGCGTCCCGGCTTGCCGACTGCGTTCGAAGTTGTTGTTGTCGTCGTCGTCGACGTTGACTGATTGCCGCTGGGGAAGGGCAGGGCCCAAGGGGGGTGAGGCGGGAAAAAGCATGCATGCATGACGGACACGGACACGGACGGGGGGGATGAAAAAGGGACGCAAATCATGTCGATTTTCTTATTTTTTTTTTCTTGGTTGCGCGTTTTGCATGCCCTCGGCCCGCGCGGGCCCCTTGCAAATATATATCGGCGAGGGTTATGTGCGTGTATTGGCGGCGGGCCTGAAGCTGGGTTGAGGCTGAAGCTCTGGCAACATTGCTTGAACCAGGTAGCTGGGATGGCAGAGAGTTGCGGTTCGTGGTCATAGCAGCGTGGAAGTTGCGTCCTCGCTTTCAGGGGGGGAGGAGGAGGGGGGGAAAGAAAATGAATGGTGTTCTATGTTGGTGCCCGTCCAGGCTCGGTACGCGCAAACAAACGACGAGAGAACAGTCCAAGGCAGCTTGGAATGCTTGATGATAGCGTAGCGTGGGGTCTATGGCTAGCCCAGCGGGTGACAGCGTTCTGGTTCAGCTGCGTTCTATTTTTTCTCTCACTTTGCTCGAACCACCGCACCGGCATAAGCCAAGGATGGACGTTCCCAAGCCATCGGACCTGGCTCGCGCCTCGTCGGAAAAGAATCCTTGCAAATACGGATATGCTATGCATATTATAGGTTGAAGCATTTACCAAACAAGAGCCGTCAATATGCAGATCCCGCTTCGTCCGCAAATCCGGCCCCGCTATTGGAGACTGATATGT